TCGTTTACAAGGAGACTCATCTCAAGCCCTCTCTCCTCCCTTCGGCCGCTTCCGTCTCCTCAGGGGCCCAGGCCGCGAATCTAGACGGGCATGCCGTCGCCCTGCGCTGGACTATCTACCGCTCTATTCTAGATGGCGGGAACGGGGACGCTGTGGGCTAGGGATGTCGGGCGTAGACCGGCTGGAGGAAATTTGGATGCGATGGAGGATGGTCCGTTGCGGAAGGAGATGGTGGAGTTGGTTGAGGGTGTGTGGGAGAGCGTAAGGGGGAGTGCGGCGGGGTGTTACTTGTAGGGACTTTGGGAGCTGTTTCAAGGCTCAGAACGATCCGGACTAGTGGTCCAAAGGCCTGAACGGGTCCAATTCTGAAGCTATTGACGTGGTCTACCGTATGGACTGGTCCGGACCACGTGGTTCAAGGCCCGTTGGTTTTTGTAATACGCTCATTATCCTCAAATGTATGACCGCCTTTTTTGCTTCAGATCGTCAAACTACCTGATATGTCACTCAAAAAAGCCCACCAGATTTTTTATCAGTTGGGAGGTTGATTAAGGTGCCCCTATCTTCGACCAAAAAATGGTTCTAGACTCAAATTGACAAAATGAGAATTAAATGTCGAGAACACTTCGATATGGCCCGGACCAGTGGTCCATTAGACTGGTCCGAGTCAGTAATCCAGAAATTGAGGGTGGACCATTGGGAACCATATCCTGATACAATGGGTTCTCGTCCTCTTGACACAGGAAATCAGATTTTGCAATGCGACATACAACTTTCCAAAATCGCAAACGAATCCTACAACAAGATTCTTGACTACAAACTCCCGGATATATTACCAGAGCACAACTACGCCATCAGGACATCCTTCGCAGCTTCTTCAGTCCTCGTCAACGTACACCGAGTTGACGAACCCGGGGACCTGAAGCCCGTCTCCGGGGCCTTGTGCCCCGGAAACCCGCCCCAAAGTTTCGGGCACCCATCCCCCGAAACCGGGGAAGACGTTACGCCTATTTAAGGGTGCCTAACTTAATTTTTTCCTCGGGCCTTTTTTGGTTAAATAGGGGTGTTGGCTGTCAAGCCAACCACCTCCTGCCCTTTTCTTAAGCCCGTCATTATCCGCCCACCACCTACTTACTTTAACCCCCCCACCGCCCCCCACCAAACCCCGATAAACCCCCACCCACCCAAGCTAAAACCGCGCGGCTTACCCGAATCCCCGCCGCGACGCTAAAGTAGGTCAGCAACGCCCGTTCGTTTCGTCCGTCTGCGGGTCCCACTAAGCCACCTACCTACCTTACCTTACCGAACGCACGGCCGGTGACTCCTGCTCCGGTTCCGCACTTTACTTTACTTTACTTTACTCTACTTTACTTTAGCTTACGTGAGCACCTTCGTTCCGTCGGGCGGACTTTGGCCGGAGAGCGAACGAGCGAACGAGCGCGGCCGGCCGGGCGGGCGGCTTTGGGCTGAGTGCGAGGGACCGAGGTGGTGAGATGGGATGGGATGGGATGGGATGGGATGATTAGTAGAGAGAGAGAAGGGGGGGGAGCGTGCTGATGCTGTGTGACGTATTTGCCACGATTGATCGCCTCGGTGTTGGGTTCGATGAAATGTTGCTATGGAAGAAATTGTGTGTGGGCGGATTGGGTGGTTGGTGTCGAGGGGTAGGGTTGAGTAGCTCCTGCTTTGGATTTGGAGTGGCACACGCGCTGGTGGGTTGGTGGGGATGCGATGCGTGGAAGGTAGTGGTTTGGTGAAAGGGATGGATGGATGGATGGATGGGTGTATTTGCCTTGGGGGGGTAATGGGCTGATTGGTTCGTTTGATGCTTGCGGGTTTGGATGAGGTGTAATGCAATGCTTCTGTCTTTTTATTTTTCGGTTTCATCCCCCTCTAAACACGGAAGTTGAATTGTTGCTATGAGAATCATTGAGAGGACTTGCATGAGGTGATATCGACGGAGTGAGCTCATTTGATTCACTGATTGATTGAGAAACGGACATGCCATGCTTTCTATGTGCAGCATTCAGAGACGCGATGGAGGATTAGAGGTACACGTTTGAGCTCCTGTATATCAAAAAACATATTTGCATTCTATGCTACGTGTACAGTATAGTACAGTCCCAACCCTGAGAAACAAATACACGAGTGGCGCCTGCACCGGAAAATCACCGACTCCAATCTAGTCCAGTCCTGACCCTGCGAAACAAATACATGATAGGTGCCTGCACCGGAAAATCACCAACTCCATGTCGACTTATCTTTGCTTCCTTCTGGCTCTAAACGTTCTTGTGTCTATGAAGCGTTGGCGCACTTAACAACTGACGCCTTTGGGCGTCGTCGGCGGGATGGAGAAGGGATTCGAGAAGAAGTTGGTGGGGTCGTATTGCTTCTTGACCGACGAAAGCCTGCAAACGTTGTCGCCCCAGTAGGCTTCGTACGGGTTGGAGTTGATGTGGGCGTCCATGTAGCCTGCGTAGCTGGCCGTGCTAGAAGTGCGTCAGCAGCTGGAAAAGAAAGAAAAGGGGGCAGAAAAGGGCCCGGCGTACCCAATCCTCGGAACAAGATAGGCCTCCAGATCATCCATGAAGTTCTGCCCGATCGCTTCGAGGGTCGCGTTCGACGACCTCGTGACCTCGAACCGGAAAAGGTATTCGGCTTCTGCTTGCCATGCGAACGCACTCGTTGCCGGGGTCGAAATGTTCCAACTCGTCATCTCGGTCCAAAAGCCGAGCTCTGCGGGCAGGGCGCCCGACTTTTCGACGATGTACTGGATCGTCTCTGACGTGAGTGGCTTCGACTTGGTCACGAACAGGGTCTTGTTGATGATGGCAACGCGCGGCCATGGTGTAGCCTTGGTCTCGTTGGGCAAGACGGGGACGTCGTCGAAGCCAAACTGCGCTGGCGCACCCGGGACGGCGGAAAAGTCGTCAGGCACCACATTGTACCAGGTATTGAAGACCTCATGGGCGGTGGCATCGTCTGTGCATTCGATTTGGGTGTTTTCCCAGAAATTGCGTGAATTCTGGGTGCTACAGTTGGCTGAGATCCTATAAAAGACATCAGGGACGTCCAACAGACCGGAGGCTTTGACGATGGTAGTCAGTTCCTGAGCCGTCTTGCCGATGTACCAGCCTGAGATCTGGGCGTGGTCGCCGTAGAGGTTGAGCTGGGAGGTGAAGTAAGGATCTTGCTTGGCCGCCCAGTCGAGATACTTTTGCGTAGCTTCGGGGCGTGTAGGTGCGGTGAAGTTCATCCAGACCATGGCGGATCTCGGGATTTCGATTGTGTTGATTGTGGCTTCTACCGCGAATCCATACATGCCGCCCCCTCGCATGGCCCAAAAAAGATCCGGGTTCTCTGTCGCAGACGCTGTGACCAGGGAGCCGTCGGCAAGGACCGCTTTGATTGATTGGACATGATCGACGGCCATTCCATGCAGCCTCATCTGCATGCTGTAGCCACCGACTCCTAAGTATCCTCCCAGGGCGACTGTAGGACAGATACCGCCGTTCACAGTATGGCCAGTCGGGTCCATTGTCTCATAAATTTGTCCAAGTTTCGCTCCAGCGGCCACTGTAACTGTTGAATAATCCTCGGATGGTTTAACGTAGTTGATGTGTGATGTATCAACGACAAGTGTTCCATTCAAGGCAGACCAATTCTCAAAGCTAAGGCTTGTCAGTCATCAAGACCTTCTCACAAGCTTGAAGGAACCCCTCGAGATTTTGCAAGGCGGTACATGGTCTGCCACTTACTGATGGCCGCCAGAGCGGGGTGTAACTTTGAAGCCAGTAGAAGTTCCGCATTGGACGAGAGGGCTAATCTCATCAATGGACGTAGCGTATGCGATGACTGCAGGATACTCGGCGAAACTAGGTACTGGTCAGATTCGGATTTCTTGCAATTATAACAGTCTGACGTACAGAACGTCACCTGAAGAGGCAGCTGTGTAGGTATCGTTCGATGGGGTGACGATTCTGCTCTCAACGTTTTCGCCAATCAGGGCGCGCTTGACGCAAGCAACTAGTGCTGCGTTTTTCTGTGCCGGAGCAGCTGCTATTAAGTGGGCAAAGCATGGCAAAAGAATGCCTGTAGCGAAAGTTGAGTACAGCTTCATTGTAAAAAGGTGACTTTGAAAGATGGGAATTAGACAAAGGAGATATGATACACAAAGGAGAGATGAGACACAAAGGAGAAATGATACTGGAGAGAAAATATTCGCATCACAACTGTACGGACTGACCTTTTATACCACATTCTATCTACCATAAGCTGGAGCTCTGACCAAAGCGCCCTCTAAGCACAACAGCCTCCTGTGTCTGCCTAGACAGTAGATTCGCCTATAGGCCTAGCCGTGTGGTCTAGATTGACAGAACCCTTGTAGTCTTGATAATGAGTAAGAGACTGATGGCTGTATCTGACCTGAGACTCAGGGTGTGATTCGGAATCTGCAATAGTACTGAGGTGTGGTGGTATGTGGCACAGCACAGCGTCAGCGCAGCCGTAGGAGGCATTCCTGAGTGGGATCTTCGGCTGTGTTTCAATCTATTTTCTTCCACCTTGTGTACGACCTGGTGTCAGCATTCTCTCCTAAGTCGTGCGCACCGTGATGAGCCCAGAGCAAATTATCACGAAACCTTTCCATGATTTTTGCCCCAACTGGCCAAATGACTCAACGAGCCGTAAAGGATGCGTGCCTTCTTCTACTACCCTGACACCTTCCGGAGGGAGGCTTACTGACATGAAATCTTACCTCATGAGCTCAGACTTTTCAAAAAAAATCAAAGAAGAACTGTTCACTTGAATTTTGCGTGTAATATTGAAGAGCGAAAAGGAAAGAACAATAGTGAAGATTCAAAGATTTTTTAAAGAGTCACGCATACTCAACTTTCCTGCAGCGTATCGCACGTGGCATGGCGAGGGATTGTAGGATCTCGCTCGTGAGTCAAGATTCATTCGGGTCAGCCACAATGCTTACGTGACCATATTCAGCTACTTCATATAGGGATTCGTAATCCATTGGTAGAAACTTGCTGAGACGGTTTTCAGGTGGTTCGACGCCGCAACAGTCACAGAGAAGGGTAGAACATAAATAGAAATTGGCACGATTGGTAAAACAGTGAGGGCCCAGCAGTATCAATTTGAATCTGATACGAGAAAATCCGAGCCGAGGATTCGGTGAAGTGCTGCAGCCCAGACGGCCGCTGCCGCTCCCTTGGTGGCGCCCGGTTGCTCGGACTCGAACCTTTCCGCAGACCCCGTGAGATCATTCTCGAACTCGTGTTCGCTCCATCGCACCTTGGTCTCGATCTTAGCCTGTTTCAGCTCGTCGCTTATCTTGTAGAATGTTGCAACAACGACGTGGCCGTGGCTTTTTACGGCAACCGTTCGTCTATCTTCCGTCATTGTAGCGCATGTGGGCTACTCTGGACTGATGATGGCTGACGATCTCCGTATCCGAAATCTTCTCGCGTTTCGAAACACCGAGCATGTGCTGTGAATCGATGTTGGCATCTCCCGACAACAGCGGGTGTCCAATCACGGTGATGAAGTAATTGGCTGGCGAGTCAACATGCTGGGCATTGTTTGTCGACGCATAGTGGATCTTGGAACAACAGTAAAACATAAGTACGATCTTGGCAAATAGCAAGGGAGAGTTACCGACAGTTTTGGATCATGACTGGCTCGAAGTCGGGCCCAATCCTGTTGCATAATACCAGCCTTGCCAGCCTCATCCCACTACCCCAGATTGACCTTGTCGTCTTAGCTCTCTGCCCTTCCAAACACAGTATTGCCGACGATAAGTCATTCTATTATACCATGAAGATGCTAAGCCCAAGGCCGTAGAGTGAAAAGCATACAATGCATCCATACGGACCCTCGAACGTGGGTTCTTTTGGGGGACTGATGGCTTGGAGTCGAAATCTTCGGACACGAAGGTTTTGTACGATGCGAATTGTCTGAGAGAAGGAGAGACCGGCCCCACAAAATAGCCATGCTCAAAGAGGCTCCACTTCGACTGATGCAGAATTAGTATGATCATGAGCGCATGTACGTAAGCAGACTGCAGTTCGGCGATATAAAGACCGATTGAACCGCAACGGACCCAGGAGTTACGGGATTTGAATGCCGGTAAATGGCTCGTGCGTTAGACTGTGCATAAAACTAGGGATTTTGGTATCTACGCTGTATAAATATGGAATCATTCTGAGCACAATTCTTCACGCAAAGCACACCTCCCTTCCTCGAGACACGCCTTTGCCCATTATGAACGGACACGTATCTAGTGCGCGCCTTGACGGCAAAATTGCAATTGTGACTGGTGCTGGTAGAGGGATAGGGGCAGGCATTGCGCGGGAACTGGGGGCCAGAGGGGCCAGCGTGGTTGTCAACTACCGCAGCAGCGCTGAGATCGCCCAGTCACTGGCAAACGAAATCAAGGCCGGTGGCAGCGACTCCATCGCCATCCAAGGAGACGTTTCCAAGATCGAGGACATCAAGAGTCTGTTCCAACAGACCAAAGCGCACTTCAACCGGGTGGACATTGTCGTTTCTAACTCTGGCGTTGAGCATTTTGGCCCTATCGACCAGGTCACGCCGGACGCTTTCGACAAGGTTTTCAACGTCAACACGCGCGGCCAGTTCTTCGTTGGCCAAGCCGCCTATGAGCATCTGGCGGACAACGGGCGTCTGATCCTCACGTCCTCCATTTCGGCGCACAGCCCTATCAAGCAGCACGCCCTCTACGCCGGGAGCAAGTGCGCGGTCGAAGCTTTCGCTCGATGCTTTGCGCCCGATTTTGGCCCCCGAGGGATCACGGTCAACTCGATCGCGCCCGGGGGGGTCAAGACGGACATGGCCGCTGATGTGGGATTCAAGTACATTCCCACGGCCGACGCGTCATGGACGGTGGACGACGTTGAGAAGTTCATTGCATCGAGGACACCAATGGGGCGGATGGCGTATCCCGTGGACATTGCTCGCGTGGTGGGATTCCTTGCAAGTGAGGATGCGGGATGGATAAGCGGTGAGTCGTGCTGTCTTCTTCTTCTTCTTCGTCTTCTTCTTCCCTTGCTTATCCTCCCTTTCTTTCCGGCCCTTGGATGTAAGCTGAGCTGGGCATAGGACAAAACTTGACCATCTCTGGAGGAGTATCGTGAAGCCTTGCATTAGCGTAGGAGCTGCATGCGATGGGAATGAGGAGAAAGGGAAGAATTAGGGCCAAAGCTTTCGGGCTTTCGGGCTTTCGGCTTTCGGCTTCTTTCGGCATTCGTCTGACGTGCAGCAAGAGCGGACATTAAAGTACCTCAGTACCTTACCATGTAATGTACTCATTAATAATCCCGTGATTCCCTCCGATCGAGTCCACGCGCAGTAGCCCCCGCCACTAGTCTCTACCTTATCGCTTAGTGCATGTACCTAACCTTACCTAAGCTCGCGGGTAGCAAAAAAGCCCGAACACCCTAAATTATTCAACAGGGTCGCAACTTATCAGCCACGATGGTAACGAAAAAACCTTTGCGGTCTAAAGAGTAGAAAAGAAAATCTAAAGAGTTCTCGTATCCAAGTTATCAACAAATATCAATTTGTTGCGAAGTTATCAAGACCTTCGTAGTGTAAAGGTGTACGGCCTTTTTTGCTACCCGCGAGCTTAGGTAAGGTACCTAGGTACCTTATATTACTTTACTTTAGGGAGCTAGGTCAAGGGATGCCCGTCTTAAGTTTCCGTGGCCTCTGTCGGCGTTACTATTGGGGTGGCATTGGTAGCTTCTATCCCGGCATTGGTATTTGGTGGCATTTAGTTCCTGGCGGCGTGCCAGCAAATCTTGGCGCTGCAACAGCCAAATTGATATCGATATCACTTCAGTACCTGATGTTTTCATCATCGGCGCTTTTGAGAAGAAAGTATCTGGAACACGATTGCAAACAACATCACAAAATCGAAGTTTACTACCAAATGATTCTTCGATAGAGCTCTTCTTGTGGAGCGGTGTCGAAGGATCGTGATTTCCACGCCGCCGGGTACTAGATACTATCCCACTAGTAAGTCATGAAGGGAATATCTATATGTCGCCTGCTTCGGGTTTCGTCGATCCTGATCCCATTTGTCATCAGCAATGTCTGTGAGTTCATCTATAATCCTTTGAAAAGTCCTTCCCATGCCTGCCTCGACTCCATCACCACAGCCCAGAAAGCCGTCTATGCCTAGAAGACTCCACGACACATGCAAGTGTTGCTGGCGTCATGGCAAATCAAGCTGCCTGGATCCCCGCTGCAGAAGCAGACTTGGTGCTCCAAGACGGCACTGACATTCCTACGCCTGGCCAAGGCGAGGTCCTGGTCAAGGTCAAATGCATAGCTTTCAGTCCCATCGAGGCCAAGATTCAGAAGTACGTGACTCCCTCTCTTAAAATTAGTACTATGTTCAAGTAGTAAACAGAGTCGTGTTCTTTCCTATCCATTGTGCACTTTTTCATTGGCTCTCTTCAATTGGACTTGCACCACTCCACCTTCGCAACTCCCTTCGTGTCAATTCTACGTCATTCACGAGCTGTCTTTCTCTGACTTCCTACCCCTCTGCCTTCTCAAAAGCCCCAATAAGCTTTGATACAACTGACACATCTTCCAGATTCGGCACTCACCCTATCCCTTACCCATCAATCCTCGGTACTTCCTTCGCCGGCATCATTGAATCTGTGCCCCCTTCCACCACAGTCTTCAAACCGGGCGACAACATTGCCGTCATCCGTACCGGCGCCCACCAAGGCGACCCCCGCTTCGGCGCTTTCCAGAAATTCGCCCTCGCCGATAGTTCCTCCGTCTCCAAACTCCATCCGTCGACCCCCCTCCCCGCTGCCGCGGCTTCAATCCTGAACCTCGCCGCCGTCGTCTCCGCCCTGAGCATCCACCTCGGCCTCTCACGCCCTCCCCTCTCCGGTCCTCCCCCTCCAGCCAATACCAATAAGAAAGTCCTCATCTACGGCGGCTCGAGCTCCTGCGGCGGCTTTGCCGTCAAATACGCCGTCACGGCCGGCTACACCGTCGTCACCACCTCCTCTCCCGCAAACCATGCCTTCGTGGCTTCCCTCGCCCCAGCCCACATCATCGACCACACCCTGCCGGCGGCGAAAATCGTGTCCGCCATCCGCACCCAAGGCCCATATGCCGCAATCTTCGACACCATCGGGCTTCCCCCCTGCACCGACATCCTCGTCGAGTACCTCTCCTCCGTGGGCGGCGGGGCATACAACACTCTGATCCCGCTCGAGGGCCCGGAGAAGCCCATCCCGGAGAACGTAGAGAGGAAGTTCGCGGCGTACAGTTGGGCGTTGGACGAGCCGAAGCATGCCGAGATCAGGGAATGGTTCTACGATGAGTATCTGCCCCAGGGATTGGAGAGCGGGTTGGTGGTGCCGACGAGGCAGCATGCGGTGGAGGGGGGGTTGGGCGAGGCGCAGGGGGTTTTGGATTTGATCATGAAGGGGGGTGTGAGTGGGCATAAGTTGGTGATGGATCCGTGGGCGTGAGCGAGGGGAGAGCTTTGGGGAGATTGAAGCACGAACGATGTCCTACCCTCGACAAAGGGTTTTAGTCATGGTGTGAATGGTGGTGCACGCTAGTAGTAGTAAACATGTGCTAGACCTATCTGCTCCCTATGAGAATATCAAAACGCCTTCTGAAGAACATGAAAAAAACAAGAGAACAAATCCCCACAGCGGGACCGGGCTTAGCTCAGTCTCATAACACAACAACAGCCGCTCATCTCCCACAAGTGATCACGGTCGAAGGAGAAACGTGTCCACTACGAGCACGCTATCGAACAAGCCCCTCATGCACAAACTCCAAACTAAACTCCGAATGAACCCCACCCCACCTCCTCAACCAACCCGACCGTGGCAGCACGCCCCCATCCACCAGCGCTCTCGCCCCACGTTCTGCAGGAACTTGACGACGTATCGATCAAACCTGTTAAAGCAATCGGAGCGAAACATGAATAGCGCGCCGTGCACGGGTTGCGGGTTTATTCCTTTCGTGGGCTTGGGAGGAGATCGGCTCGGCGAGAGAGGGGGAGGGGAGGAGTCTGTCGCGGAGGTCCTGGATCGTGGATTGTAGATTTGGGGCGGGGCGGGCGATGGGGAGGGAGATGTGGCCGTCGGAGATGCTGACTGGTTGGAGAGGAGGGGGGGGGAGAGGGGGTGGAGTGGTGAGGTGATGAAATGGAATGCATGGATTGGGTCGGGTCCGATGGGCGAAGGGAGAAAAGATGCAAGATTTACATCGACGACGGTTCCATCGCTTAGATCTTCCCGGTCGATCAAATGCTCATGTTTGTGGGTGATGTCTTTACCGAAGTCCCCCGTGGCGCTGAGCTCTTTCCGACCGTGGGGCCATGAAGACGGAATTCAGTCGGGCCATCGAAGGCAGCCCGTCTCTGTGGCTTCCACGGTACTTGTCCAATGCATCAATGGCTTTCACTGCGGTCGGACTTTGTTCTTCCAGAGTCATCCCGAGACAATCAGGGACGCTTTTGCTTGTATGCAGCGACGCAGAAGAGTTGGTGCGTGAGACATGGCCGGGCGATGCGGTGGCGCGTGATAGCGTGCAAGATGTTGTTGTGGTCGTTGTTTTACTGCTGTATGTCAGCTTCGATGGTTCTTAGTTAGAAGCTGGGGAGCGGAGGTAGAGCTTCCGAAGGAGTAGAGAATTAGAGGGCGGACGGCATACATTCCAGGCTTGCCTTCTTGAACTCTCGATCGGGGCTAATGCTATTGTTGCCAGGTCCTGCGCTGCTCTCGTCAATGTCATCCGTGCGCTTTGTGACCCCCTCGTCCTCCAGCGGAACCGGGGTAGCTGGAGGTCTGTTGACATCAAAAGAGGGATCTGGGAGATGGGTTTTCCTCGATATAGGCCGCTTTCCTTGGTTGTTGTCGAAGCCATAGCATTTAGGGAGGCCATTCTGTTTACCGTAAACGATTAATCTGTGGCTGGGAAGAAGACAAGACAAGACATCCAAGAAGCGAGACGAAGGCAGATATATGAGATAGACTACGCAGCAATGGAAGCGCGATTAGAGGATTCAAGCCAGCACGCTAGCCCATTCTGCATGGGAAGGACCGACAAAGAGCACGAGATGCTATGGTTAAGCTGATGTCGTTGACAGTCTGGGGAACAGGAATGGTGTCGGGAACTGGCAGATACGAGAGTGAGGCGTGCCCCCCTGCGGCTAGGATTCTAATCTGGCCCTGTCGAGAGTACATTGAGGTATGCGAGTCCGAAAGCTAGCGCTCAAGCAGAGTGGTAACTTACCTCAGCATTCCCGGATGGGGTCGATCCAAGAGCTACGGATCGCTTCTTCGGGCGGCCTAGGGACTGTGGTAAGATACCTACCTTACGGTCCTTACCTACCTTGGGTTAGGCTACAGCGTTGAACCCTACGGTAGTCCCCAGTTCGTGTGTTTATGTTACGCGGCGAAATCGGTACCAGTTCGGTCTTTGATGACTGCTTTGGAAAAAGTCGCTATAAGCTACCTCCCTATTAATGCTTGATTCCCCCCCCCTCCCCTTACCCCAGGCCGTCGTTCTCATACCCTCAAATCAAATCTCTTCGACTCCCCCTTTTCCATCTCCGTCTCAGTCAAAAATTGCCCGAGTAAAGACCCAGCCAGCATCACCACCACCACCCACCCAAGACGTAAAAACAACGACACCGCTCCCCGCAAGAGCAAACGAGGCTGAATCTCCCTCCCTACATACACCAAGAATCCATCGAGACGAGCACGTGCGTGCAGATTCAAAGATCTAAAACCCGCACACCCTATCTCCTCTCGATCTCAATCTCCCACGCTCGAAACTCGGCCGAAAGGATGGCTCCAATCGTTCCTTCCACCGTGGAAAGTGGCCCTCGCTGATTCCGGTTACGACGCACCATTTCGTGCGGGCGAGGGGTCGCTTTTCCGGGGATGTGAGAGCGATGGAGTTGCTTTCCGGATTTAGACTTGGTTTTATAAACATTTTTTTTCGTTTTTTCTTTTTTTCTTTTACCTTTTTTCGATTTGTCTTTTTGGGAGAAGCGGGTTATTGTGATGATGTTGATGAGGGGGAGAGTGTGGTGAATGCGAATCGATCGATTGACTTGGAAGTATTTGCATACTCCGTGAGAGGCTAAGGAGAAAGAGTTACTTTATTGATAGTTGGTGTTTGAAAACGAAAAAGAGGGGGCTGTGGAAAGAGGGGGGTGGAGCGCATGAGGATGAGGATGGGATCTTTTCTACTTTAGTCTTTCTTTTTCTTCTTCTTTCTTTTCTCTTGTTCTTTGAAATCGAGACCGAGAAGATGAAGACGGCTGTAACTTGATTCTATAGTATGGTTCTAATTTGATGAGGTGGTCAAGGAAGGACAGAAGGCGACCACCAACGCCTAGCTGAGCTGTTGGACTGGAAAAACAATGAAGCCCTGCCCTCTCTCGCTCGCTCGATGCCGCAGATCTTCAACGCTATCAGCTTCCGAAGATATCCCCAAATGGATCTTCCTAATCTTCGTTTCCGAAACTGACCCTCACGACCTCAGTGCCTCGTGGTTCACCCTCAGCCTTCTTCTCAGATACGTGACCAACTCGCCAAAAGGCTTCGGCTCGCCGCGGCCGCCTTGACCATTGCCGCTGCCCCAATCGTGGGGAGAGCAGAATCGCCTCTCAAACAGCTCGATCAGGGTGCCAATTTTACCAAGCTCGATGCGCAGCAAACTGGCCTTCAAGATTTGCTCGTCGCGCTGGTCGAGCTGGTAGGAGCCTAGGCTCAGACGGACGCGCTGTGGCGGGGGTAGCAGTTGCGACTGGAGCTCGCGGTTGGCGCTCGATGGGTTGCTAGGGGTGGAGGCCGCGCTGAGGGAGTCTGTGGGGGAGTCGTCGGAGCCGGGGACATTTTTGCCATAGCTGTTGGGGAGAGGGATGTCGTAGATGGTGATCATTTGGTTGATGAGGGCAATGATTGTAAGCATGAGGATGGTGTCGTCCGTGTGAGATCGGTTGGGGCAGTTCAGCGTCGATGTGCAAAGCGCAATGATGTTTTTGTTCTCGGAGAGTGATTTATCGAAGGGGTTGTGGGAGTCGCGGCTCGAGAGCCAGCACTCGGACAATTTAGCGAGGATTCTTTGGTGACAGGAGCACATCTGGCCGGATGGCGGTGAGTTATTGTTAAATTGATGGGTGTAGGTTGAGTCAAGACCTGTAGGACGGTTCTTATAGCGCTGGTCTGGGAAAAGCTGGTCTCCATGGCCTGGACTGATGCCGTTCTCTGCGTAAACGTCGGACAGAATCATCATTGGGTCATCAGCTTCACCAGTGTCAGCGAAGTTGGCCTGATCGCCGACGTCGGAAAAGTTTGTGGCCCATCCGTCAATGATGGAGGCGTCGAAGGCTGTTTCAGACAGAGGCGGCATCATGTGATGGGGCACGACTGAGGTCGGAAACATCATTGGGGTAGGGGGCACGGTGCGTTGAGAGCCATCGCTGCGATCTTCATTGAAGTTGCTGCTCCCCACGTTCCTGGAACTCTCCGCTCTTCCCTTTGCGGAGCGTAAGGAAACGCTGTACACACAGTCTCCGTTGCGGGCCTCGCAGCGCGCACATCTGGGTCTTGTCTTGGAGCACTTGACCTTGGCGATGTTGCAGGCGTCGCAGGAATGTCTGAGCTGGGCCGTTGGGGAGCGATGTCGATGGTGTTGGGGCTGGTTTTGGTAGCTCATGGTCCTGGTCTCCAACTAACCAGGTCTAAAGCTATGGGGGCCAATTTTGGGTAGTCGGGCGGGAGGTCTCTACGCACCCTTTGCCAAGGTATCTTTCCATACTGCCCGGAAGCATTAAATTCTGACACGCATATTAGAATGATCAAGCAATTAACGCGGCTTCGATATATACTTTTTCGCTACGATGGTGGAGGTGAAGGCAACCTCTCCTTGTGCTCCGGAGACAGGAGCACACACCACCACCAGGATTTGTAACAGCCTCAGCAAGCTAAAAGGTGAGGGTTATGACTGCAGGGAAAGCATTTGTCGGCACACCGCCTTGCACCACATCGCTTTTGCAAATGCTTTATATCCACTCATGATCTCATCGAGATCTCGCGCTGGAATGATGACTGCAGGCGATGAACGCGCATCCGGGCGAGAACGGATCGTCGCGCAGGGAGGATTATCTGACATGTAGTCGAGTGAGCCGGGCCTTATAAGAGTCCGACGAGTCCGACGACTTTGAAAGAATTCTGCAGAATGTGATTTGCTTAATGTACAGTACTTCAACAATTGAACAATCACGCGTGTGACTCGTGAGATCTGCAGAATAAAGCAACGCGTACAACTGCCAAGGTAGTCATGCATAAGATTAGCCGAGTAGTGGCGGGATATGACGATATGCTTATATAAGCGGTTGAGCGCAAATCGTGCAATTTGCTCGCAGCGGTGAGCAAACTTTAATGCATACAACACAAACAGAAATTGCCCAGGAAAGGAACGCCCCTCAGGCGCTATCTTGCGCTGCCGTTGTTGACAATAGAGCACGAGATGCTGCGGTTTAGTTTCGTCCGTCTGACTGCACGTATGTTATAAGCTTACTTGTACTGTTGAAATGAAGCTATTTGCCTCGCTTCATTTCACAGATTCGCGAATCGCCCGGTTGGATCCACCAGCTTTGTATGGCAGCGCTGTAAATGCGGAGGGGCGCATTTGAAATAAAAATACCAGCCATTGGCGTTGACGGAGACTCATACAGTAAGACAGTATTGTTGCACGAACAGTAGGGCAGGGCTGGATATGCAGTAGTCGCTGAGCTGAAGGCCGTGCTCAAAGCAGACTCAGTATCCTAAGAGGTCAAACGAGATTCTAATATCAAAAAAATTCACGATGACAATCCTGGTCCCTTGCGAAAGGCCCACTGCGTGAGGGATACCTTAGTGATTGCATCATCTTCTCTCCAGATATTTGATCTCTAGAAATTCGATTCAGCATCTCGTAGGCAGAATCAATCATGTTGTGCGCAATTCATTGGATTGATTCCATGTCAGCCAAGTCTCATCAAAATGTCGTGCAGGCCGCTCGCAATCTGATTCTTGCCGTTCAAAACCGTCATGAAACAGCTTTCAGCCTTACCATGTCTTCGTGTGCGCAAGCTGCCGCCCAGGCCGCGGCACGCATGGGTACCTACTCTTAATACATACGACGAGATCGACGCGCCTACTATGACAGCTCCGCAGCTTGTGGAGAGCACTGGTTCGAGTGCGTAGCTGATCATCCGCGTCATGAGAGTACTGCTGGCCAACCGTGTCTTCTCGAAGCCGACGGCCGGATGCTACACTCGGACAATGCTAAGTCATACTTCGTGAGGCCTCCACTCAGCACATTTAGGTGAGTGACAACCTCGCGGAAGTTTCGAGGATATGAAGATCTTACCAGACTATCTCGCAAGCCTGAACTTTCGTGACCCTGCCGAGCGAAGGTTAGACCCTTTGCTCTCGCGATACCGGAAAATTGATTCCAATTATACGATCACACTCGAAGAGTTGTGGTCAGACATCTCAACCTCAGATCCTTCTGTTCTGTGCCCCCAATACTTGGACCTTCTTCGATGACCATCTCGGTCAAGTGTTAACTGAATATCGACGCCTGTCTACGCATGGTTCGTGCATGAGTTTAGAGACCCTCGATCAGGATGACACTAAAGAGAATGCGGCCTTCAAGTCTGTTTTGTATCGCAGGATGTATGGAAATTACCGCTGCAAAGTGCTTGGCCTGGAGCTGTGATATCTACCCACCATACGCGTCTTGACGGGCATTTATGTTGGATTGCATCTTGCTTGATACACTCTACCAACTAGTTTCTTCACCTTTTCTTCTTCTTCTACAGGTTTCCTGAAGGAAAGTGCGCTCAGTAGTCTGGACAATGCGACCTATCACCAGATGAAGAGAAGCCTAAACCCTGAATTTACAGCTTCGATAGATGACCCACGGTTCGCTGGGACTCTCTGGGCTTACCAGGCGTCTTGAAACCAAACTTGTTCTGCTTGGAATCCCATGATCACTTCTTGGCGAGTTTATCTTCGAGCTTGCCGGAGATGGAGTCAACGACGTGTGTACCAAGGAGAGGTAAGAACTTCCATCCATGTAGGGAACCTCCTGGCGTAGAGGTAAGGTTGTTGAATTTGGGATGAGGGCAGATGAAGAATTCGCCATTCGTGCTCTGTTCCAGCCTGTAGCTTTCTAACTTTGATGCAGTTCCAACTTACATCAGTGATCTTAATATACTTAGCAAAATTTTATTCGCGTAAAGGGATGGTTAATGAACTGTGGTAGAATCTCCCTCATCTCTTCGCGGATACTTTATTCCAAGTCTGTCGAGAGTGTTTGTGTTGGATTATCCACTTTAGTGAGTGGATATGAAGCCTGGTAGGTCTTTTTGAGATCCTCGGGGTTGTTGAGCGTAGTAGTGTTGCGGAGACCGGTCGTTCTCTCCCACTTAGAATTGGAGATGCAGCCGTCGCCTGAAGGGAGGAAGACACTTGTTCAAGAGAAGTCTGTAAGCTCAGGTTACTAAGACCAGAGAGGGCGACTAATAGTAGGTTGCATACCTTCAGGAAATTCGACGAAAAGCAGAAGCTTACGATCACGAACAATCATTATGAGAAGCCCCAGCGAGTCCTGCAAGCAATGGCCAAGCAGAAAGGGAAGCCCGCACCACGAAACACTTCGAAGAAGTGAGCCTCGACTACTACCTCCTCCTTTAGACTCTAATGTGTCGTTGAAGATGGAAGTCCAGAGGCTTTTGTACCTCCGAGCCACGCTTCCCCGCTTACCTTCATGCCATTTCTACCTGGTTAACCTCCCGCCCGAGCTGCGCTGGCAGCATTGCCGTTGTCCAATCCCCTCATTTGCGAAAACTCGGCCTTTGTGATGGATGCTAGCGGACCCGGCATATGCAATCATCTCCCTTATTAATCTGGAGTTCTTGAGGCTAAGTACGTGTCTAGGATGACTCGGTCTTTCATCGACGTACTCCTCCAGGCAATGGGTGTTCAACACAACTAAAGACCACTTGGACGAGCCAACATCCCTAGAAGTGCCCATCAGCTTCGATGCTAGTACGTATGAGCTGGAATGGGGAAGGTCTCAATGGCATACGTTCTCTATCTCACCAATAGGGTAAAATTCCACGTATGTGAATGGTTCCACATATTTGACGAGGCCGATTTTATGAGCGAGCTCTATGAATTCTACAAAGAGCCATCTGAGAAGCTGGAAACCTCAAAGATGTGGTACATACGGTTCCTCCTCATTCTCGCTTTTGGAAAGTCTTTTCTTGACCGGCCCACGAAATCGACTATCCCATCGTCTGGCAGGGGGTAAAATTCAGGGGTTCCGACCGAACATCAAAAAGTCCCGTCTTGCAACTCACCATAACTCAACAACGAGGACCCCCATAGAAAAGTTTATAGTTTCGCATTTATTTTTCTTAAGCAGATCTTGAACTTCGCAACTGAAAGTTTTACTGTAAAGGTTGTCATTGGAAACTTATTGGGCTGCGAAAGTATGGTATTTTAATGTTCTGCCAAGACATTTTACCTCTAAGGCGCCAGACGATGGGATACATCCTGGATCTAGCCTTTTCATTCAAGCTATGAACCTGCTTCCCAATACCGAGGCCTTGTATTGTGAGCCTATCTCGGCTATTGAGATCCTATGTATGGTGTCATAATATCTTCAGTCCGTGGATATCAGGCTCGCTCTGCTTACAGCCATGTAAGAATCTGACCAATGTCTTCCTTTCTTTGCATACTGATCACTACTTCATGAACACACCATGAAAGATCGGACAGGCTTTAGGAATCGCATTGACCGCAGGCCTGCACAGTGAAATACAGTAGACAACTCCCGTCCGAAGGATCTAGAGAGGGGTCGGAATTCATGGTGGACGGTCTATATCCTGTAAGTGAATGAGAACGAGGGAAGATGTTCGGGAGTTTTTTACGGAAGCTAGCAATTCGGGCTAGCGCCTATCTCCGGCCTCGGCAGTAAACAAGCATCGCGTCTCCCAGCTTGCGCCGTGTAGCATCTCTCAATTACCAGCAACATGACAGACCCAAATAGACAAGCTGACGCGCTGCTCACCGAGCACTTCCAATACACACCTCTGGTGCACCTTCGCTCCCCTTACTACCCACTTGACGCCCGCTAATCCGACTTCCAGTCTCTCATCGACGACATAATCAACGCCGTAAACACCATCATCTACCAAGCAATCGAAGCCTTAGAGAACGGCCTCCTCTCGATACCCCCGAAGCAGCTGGGCTTTGCGCGCCACCAGAGCCCCTCCACCATATCGATACCTGACACTGATGGCGACGGCAATCTCGAATACCCTGAAGCGACAACCGAGCTCGAGAATGGCGTACATCAGCTTGAGACGCTACTGGAATCTACAGTCGACAAGTCGTTTGATAAATTCGAGATTTACACCTTGAGGAACATCTTGACCATTCCCGATGATTTGTCGCCGTGGATGCGGTTGGCGCATTATGAAGTATGCCAATCGCTTTTCGAGCCCTACCCTACCAGGTGCTGCAGAATCATGTAGCTAACACTCACTTTTCCACAGGACATCCAGCTTCCGATCTCATCTTCCGCCCCAACGCCGGAATCCATCCTCCTCCTTCGGCGCAAACTCCAGGAGACCCGCAAATTGAACCTCGCGCTCCGCTCTACACACGCCCGGAACGCAACGCTCATTTCCCAACTCAATACCTTGCTCTCCCCTCCTACCGCCGCAGATGGTCCCTCACTCGCGTTCCTCACATCCCACACCAACCCTGCGGCTCAGTCACTCAATCTCTCGTTCTCGCCCTCGTCTAAAGACACGACGCCCCTTACGACAAATGCGCAGTTCGCTACATCTCAATTGCCTGCGCTGAAGAAGCTAGTGGCGGAACTGCGGCCGAAGATGCAGGAACTCAGAGAGGGGCCAGGTGGTAAAGTGGATTGGGATGGGGAGAGAGAGAAGAGGAGGGCGTATATTGAAAGTGGGGTCAGGAGGCATGTAGGGGTTGGGAGAGAGAATGGGGAAACTGTGGGAGGTGAAATAAGGGCGAGGGACGAGGTAGAGGGATTGGAGTCTGTGGTTGGAGCTCTGGGGCAAGGGTCAAGGATGGAAGAATAGGAAGGCTCGTCGGCTTCTTGTTGGCTATTGGGGATGGGAGATACCCTTGTGAATGCAACAGATGATGGAGTTCTGGCATCTGCACTAGTGGCTTGATCGTTACAACATGGGTATCATGACAGCAACACTCAAGTCTCGACATGAGTAACTACCCGTCCGAACCAAGCCTTTTCCTCCGCTTTGCAATGTTCGATTGCAGTGGTGCGGTCTGTTTCCCCGTCGTATTCTCGCGACCACTGTTGTCATCCCCGTCAACATCAGCTTGAACCTTCCGCTTCACCACCACCATCTGCTTAGCAAGAGGCCTCTCAGCCTTCGGTCTAGCTGCCTTGGGAGGCTTGCTACCCTTTGCTCCACCGTTCCTCATGGGAGGCTGGTCAAGCTTTTCGCGTGCTGTAGTACCTGCCCCACTCGCGTTCTCCTCTCCCTCCGGTCTGACAATCGTGATATCCAACTCCCCAGCCTCCAACACTGCCTTTGTTTTTTGCCATTCGACACCGAACCGTCCGCTGTTGATCCGCACAGCATAGCAACTTCCCAATTCTTGCCCCCCGTCTTCATCCGATCCTCTTATTTCTGCGATTTGATTTGCTAGGTCAGCGAGGGCTTTTTGCGTGTTTTCTAGTATTTCCTTAGCTGGCGAGACCTTTTTCCCGTAATCTAGCGAGGTGAAAAGGCAGGCTATATAGTGAGGCGTCTTGGACGCTTGCCGCTCTTTGGTGGCGGTGGGAGGGGGGACAAGAAGGGTAGTGCCGACGAGATTGGCTTGGTGTTGTTTGACGGAGAGTTTGGAGCCCGTAGGTGGCGAGAGGCAGTGTGCGTTATATTTGCGGAAGGCATAAGGGTACTTTTGTTTGAAGGCGACGGCCACACCGGAACCCCAGGCACCACGGGCGTTGCAAGCGTCTGTGAATTTTTGTCAGGGAGGCCCATATCTGGTGGGGGTTATTGAAACCTGCGGATGAGTATGCTCTTAGGGGGCGCTGAGAAAACATTGCCGACTTCTTCGGTGATGATGGCCAGAGGATTGACACCGAGCAGTGGTACGATAGCCATTAGAAGGCGTGGATTGACGACTGCAGGACTTCAATCATTTCCGTTTCCACTGCAGTTTTGTCTCTTCAGTAGCCAACTTTTGGGGGCTTTCAGCTAGCATCCTGCTAAATCTTACGGTTCATAGCCTCTATGATGGCAATGATGAAGACCACGTTCGAAGAAGAGTTTGAGATGCTACGAGTCCACGGCTACGGCGCGTTCCCGCTAAAGCTTTCCCCCGCGGGCCTCTCGTTCTGTGTTGCCTTTTTCGCTCAAGTCTCCCTTCCATTTCTCGTCGTTGACTGGCCAATGCTACTGTTACTCTGTCATCCAGCATGGAGGTGCATGTATGCCGTCATGAAGCGCCGGAGATACCTCTGGACGCATTTCAACAGACCGTTGCTTCCCAACGATTAAATTTCTCCTTCCCACGCCCTTTCTCATTTCTACCAGGCCTTGTAACCACTGTAGCTTACGGAGATGGCTACACCTGACACCAAGGGTTACGGCGACGAAAATGACAATAAGCTCGCCCAACATGTGTCTGATGCCTCGCTCGTAGATGTCCAAACAATCACAGGGACTAGGAGAGAGCCTCCAGAGCTCGTCAAGAACCTGTCACAGGAAGAGCGACAGCATCTGGAGACAGCATTGGTCCGAAAGATCGACTTGAGACTCCTACCAATGCTCATTCTCATGTACATCATGAATTACCTTGACCGGAACAACATCGCATCAGCCCGTTTGGCAGGCTTGCAAGATCCACACTCTAAGGGAGGATTGGATCTTACGAGCACGCAGTATCTGACAGCGCTCAGTATTCTCTTCGTGGGGTATTTGCTCATGCAAATTCCCTCAAATTTGTTCCTAAACAAGATTGGAAAGCCTGCGTTATACCTACCAACGGTCATGATTATCTGGGGTGTCATATCCGCTGCTACAGCAGGAGCTCAAAGCTACGGTGGCTTGATCGCCATCAGGTTCTTCCTTGGATTCGTGGAGGCTGCCTATTTCCCTGGATGCCTGTTCTTCTTGTCCTCCTGGTACACAAGAAAAGAGCTAGGGTTTCGGACAGCTATGCTATACTCCGGGGCTCTGCTTTCTGGAGCATTTTCTGGCTTGATAGCTGCAGGTATTAAGAATGGCTTGGATGGAGCACGAGGTCTCCGTGCTTGGCGCTGGCTATTCATCATTGAGGGTGTTATTACCATCTTTTTTGCGTTTTGCTCATACTTTGCGCTGCCGAACTTTCCCCGAACGACGAGCTGGCTCACTGAGGAAGAGCGTCAATTGGCCATCTGGCGTCTGGAGGAGGACATCGGGGAAGATGACTGGATTGACTCGAGTCAACAGACATTCTTCCACGGGATGAATCTCGCATTTCAGGATATCAAGACGTGGATTCTGGTGAGCTTGCCCAGGCAGTGTTTGTCTGTTACACTAACACCTTCCCAGATGGTTTTACTTTTTGGTTTTGTTGCATCAGGGACTGTTACGAACCTCTTCCCTACAGTGGTTGCGACCCTGGGCTACTCAGACGTCGACTCCTTGCTCCTCACGGTTCCTCCCTACATACTGGCTGTCGTTACATCCTTCTGCAACGCCTGGCATGCCGACAAGACGGGGGAGAGATACTTCCACATCACGTTGCCGCTGTATTTCGCCGTCATCGCATTTATCATTGCTGCGACGACTACAACAATTGGGCCAAGATACTTTGCTATGATGCTCATGCCTGCTGGGGTGTATACGGGCTACGGGGTGGCTTTAGGGTGGATCTCTAATACACTGCCCCGTCCTCCTGCGAAGGTTGTCTACATTTCCTGCCCTCGGAAAAGCCATACTGACACTTACTCCAGCGTGCCGCTGCTCTCGCAGCCATCAATGCGGTCTCCAACTGCTCCTCAATCTACGCTTCCTACATGTATCCAGAGTCAGCGGGACCGCGCTACAGTACGTTTCTCACAATCTTAAGGAAAGACCGGGTACTAATACGAACCAGTCGTTGCTATGAGCGTCAATTGCGTGATGGCTTTGATGGCCATCTGCATGGCTACCCTGCTCCGTTTTATTCTTGTGGGGCTGAACAAGAAGCTAGACCGAGGTGAGCCTGTCGAAGGCGCTGTCGCTGTTGGAGAAGGGGTACCAGGAGAGGCCAGTCGGAGGGGCTTTCGGTTTGTTCTTTAGTAGACATTGCATCACGGACTTCATGGTAATGCTTCTTGCGTATACGGTACCACTTCTATGTAGGCATCTGATCTGCTACTCGATATTCTCATTCTTACAGATGCGCACCACTCTTAGGGCGAATGACTGACACTCGGGTTCCTCCTTAATATGTCTCCCTTGGAGCTTCGAGTGCCATGCATGCTATTGAGTGAAGCATGGAGCCCGTAACTGCACCCCTGTCCAGCATGATTGCTTTCTTGGCGTTGACAAGAAGAAACGAAACACCTGCCAACTCTACAACTTCACAATTTGGAATTGAAGTGCTCTCTCAGCCAGCTCCGCACGTGAATACTTTAGAAATACTCGATCAGACATTTTTCTATCACAGAGATCCTCTTTAGTCAGAAATATTACTATCCCGGGGAAGTGGGCTATCCTGTCACCCGGAAGGCATTCCAGGCGTCTGTTTCGCATTCCGCAGGGTCAGCTATCAATACGTACACTCAACTGTGATGGCGACTTTGAAATTCACTTCCTGACAGTGCACTCCCAGAATCCTTAAGCCGATGAAGGAAGATAATCCGGGATCAATGTCAAGAGTATTTGATCCAGGCTGCCTATGGATCCGTGGATACCAAGGGTTTTATCCTTGCCTCACGTCGGAATTTCTATCCTTTGAATTTGACAACGAGGGAAGGCATTAGATGGAGCAACCATATTGCGTGCACTGAAGCCTCCTGCTGATAGCAGAATGAGAGGCAGCACCGGGGTGCTAGTTACTTTTTAAGACAACGAGCGCCTGCACCAGATAGAGTGTTATTGCTAACAGAATAGAAGGCTGTTTCAACTCACGATTTCCTACTCAGCTCGCTTGACCAAGCATACTAGTATCTTTCCCTTTTATCTTCAGACACATCAGGACTCCTTCACCAGGGGGCCCTCCAGCAGCCTGGCCGTCATCAATGGCTGATTCCACACTGTAGTCTTGAAAAGGGCCGCGCTCACCGCGCAGAATTGAGCCTTTGCGAAACGCTTGCCCATACAAGCTCGGGGGCCACCGGAGAAAGCTACGTGTGAGCCGGGCGTGGGGCTGAAGGTGGTGGTGCCTTTGCCCTTGCTCAGTCAATGGGAGCGATCGAAGGATGGCACGCGATATGGCGGCCCGTCGCCAGCAGTGGGCACAGCAGCGGGCCAGTATTTCGGATTCCGGTGTGTTGCACTGGTGTTCATCAGGATCAGGGTGTCGGCAGGAATGGTGTAACCGCTGCTGCTGATGGAGAAAGAGTGTGGTATCTCTCTTGTGGTTTTGGGGAAAATTGGTAGAAGGGTGTAGAGGCGCAGAGTCTCGTCCACGGTGGCCTCCACGTATCCATCAAGAATCTGTGGTAAATCTGCGCCAAAGGACCAGTGGCTGAACGGACGGTCACCGAGGATTTTGTCTTGCCGAGATCGGCTCGCAACGCCTTTTGGATATCGGGACGGCAGGCGAGAAGGGTTACGGCATCCTTGAGAGTGTTGGCACTTGTTTCGTACCTAGCCTTGATGAAGACGAAGATGTTTCCGAACACTGCACCTGGAGAGGTTTGTGGACTCTCGGAATCCGTGGACGCGGCCTGACCAGCTTGAACGAAGGATTCAGCCAAGACGATCAGTGGTAAGAACATGAGCTTCAAACTAACCAGTACTCACCGAGGATGGATCCTTTGCTCCTTGAGCCATGTCGTTGGAGGCTATGCGAAGTCTCGTCCTGCACTTCCTTCATGGATTTTAACCACTCGCTATATGACGCTTTGGCGTCCTTGTGTGCGTCTAGAAGAGATGTCTGCATCTATTCTGTTGGCAGAGAACGCTCCTTTTATTTTTATCATTCTTACTGAGAACAGATGGCGGCACGATGAAGAGAGTTGGGGTGTTGTCGACCATTAAGCTAATCACTTCTCAGTAGCTCATACGGTGTCCCTCAGGCGGATTGTGTCGAGATCCAACAGCTTCTGTCCATCCCATTCGCCGATCAAAGCACACGAAGCCTATCACCTGTAAGGCCAACCTTGTCACTTCTTCGTTTAGCTGCAGGATAGAAGCTTGTATACTGTCCCATCGCTTGAGCAGCGCTGCCGCTTGCCCCAGAGATTCGGTCCAGGTGGAGCCGTGAGTTCGATCGTTAAAGGTTGGCGCCGCGATCTTCCTGAATCGGTGGGACTCGTCTCTGTCGATAACGGGTTTTACAAAGTCATGACTCCGTCTAGAAAGTTTGAAGAAACGTCTCGGAATCGCAGGCCCACAGGATGTTCCCACTAGCAGACACCATGATGAACGTGTCGCTGCCTTGCCGAGCAAACGGCCCATAACCTTCGTGCCATACGCGGCCGAAGAGTGACAATCTACGGATTGTGATCAGTTGGGGCAGCTCTGAAAAAGTACGAAGGTAGCGTTACGGCACCCAGCTGACGGTCCACGGGCTCTATTTCAGGAAGTTCCAAAGCAACGAAGAAATGACTGGACTCGCGCTTTTCTGGCTATTCTAGCTAACCGCTGTTCTTCACGAAGGTCTACGCCTATGCCCTACGGTTCAGAATGGCATGAGACGAGAGTTGCCAAAAGGGAAGGGCAGTAGTTGCAGGACACTCCTTGCCTTAAGAAACCGTGGTGTCGATCCCGCAATGGTCATCATTCCAAGCCACAGACAACTCTCATTCGCCTACATTATTTGCTCCTGAACGTTGGCTGAAGGACCCGCTGGCTCCCAGAAAAGCAAAGATCGAAAGGACGTTTTCCAGCCCTTCTCTCTCGGCCGCACAACTGTCCTGGCAGGAGTCTCGCCTACCTAGAGATACGTCTGATCTTGGCAAAGGGTTTTCTTTAAGCACACACATCTTTCCCAACCTACACCGATTGGCTTCTGATGGTGACTCAGCGATGGGATCTTAGGCGTTGGCGATCCCACCCGTGGACGCATGCGATCATCGCAGGTCTCAGAGTCCATAGATGAGGTCCGCTTGCCTTGGTTCTGTAAGACTGCTTCTCGTGGCTGTGGGGAATTGCTGCAGGCGGCGCTTCCACGCTCCCAGCTGGTGGTTCTAAACACCGACGAAAGGTTGCGAGTTGGTGGAGAGGATGGTTTGACCCAACGTGAGGAGCTACCCTTCTTACTTGCTAACTCACGAGAGGGGGAACCGTGCTAGTAAGATTTCCACTGAACCGGAACATTGGTCGTGGTAATGGCGTCCACTGCTCGGTAGATCACGATGCTGTGGAAGGACGAGTAGGGCATGTAACACATTTCATTTTTTTCCCCCAAGCAAAGGGTACAGAAGCCTTGGTTTCTCGGCTTTTATCTCGTTATCAAAAAACACACGCTCGCTACCACGAAGAGACATCAGTCCTCGCTCCCTGTATCCTTCTCTTACCCTCTCGAAAAGCTCCCATCAGCCAACTCCCTCCACCCTCGGTCCTAAGAGCAATATTCAATCACATCCACAAATCCCCCATTATTCGTATTACAAATCTCATACACCCCATACTCGGAGTTTGGCCCGCTGGTCGCGCTCGGTGGGTTCGTAGCAGGCACACATTTCAGCGCCGGCGTACCACCGTCGCTCACGCCCGTCGGCAGCGACCCAGGGTAGCCGGTGTAGGGCTTGCAGCCCGTGAATGTGATGTCCGGGTGGCCCAAGATGGTGAGGTTCTGGTTGCAGTTGTTGAAGCCTTGGGGGAGGAAGCCGAAGCGGGTGCCGTCATTGCAAGGGTCGCTGTCGGAGAAGAAGGCGATGTATGTGCCTCTGAGTGGTTATCTGTGATCAGTTTTGCGTCTGCGAGGTCGACTGTTGACTCTGAGGAGACACGTTTTGAGAGTATGAGAGTGTGGAGATAATGGTTGTTTGGAAGAAAATGACGCGGAAGACGTACTGTTGGCCGGAGGAGGAATCGGTGGCGAGGTAGATTGTTTGAAGGGCCATTGTAAGGGGCAGGAGGGAGAGGAGGGAGAAGGAGAAAAAGTGCATCTTGATTGAAGGCCTGCGGTAGTATTTCGGGGGAGTATGACACAGAGACTTTCCGCTTTAGAATATCTTATCGTTCAATGGAAAAGGCCAACCCTGGGTACTTATGCTTGTCTCGTTTCATTTGTTCTCATTCATCACTGCCTCAATTTTCCGTCAAATATTGTCTTGGCAGCTTCGCGCTCCCGAAACGAGAAGTTGTGGCGTCTTAGATGCAAGTAGCCTGGGGGCCGGAAAGTTGCAGCCAATCTTGCAACGCGGCCGCCGCAGGTGGCGTACACTACAGGATTCGTGACATTGTAAAACATCTGATAAACGATTACTGTATATCACCTCCCCGACAATGCGTATATCTAATGCGACTTTCAGATTTCGCTCATAGCTTCGACGTTTATTCTCGGCAGACTTGCAAGACGATTCAGCCAAGAGGCGCAAGAAACCATGAGGTGGTTCCAGCAAAGAGACCCCTCGTGTAAACAGCAATCAAGTATTCTGCGCCTCAGGTACACGACATCTTTCAACAAACACGAAAATAGAATCTCTACTTCCACAACCCTGCTCCAAAGCCAACGCAGGGCTGCTATCACCATTAGTCGCAGTCGAGACAACTCCATGCACATCTTCACAATTCCCTTCGCCATTAGGCTCCAGCCTATTCACGTCAAAAGTCGCCCGGTACCATGTATTATTCGAACTCTGAAAGCGCTTGGAACTTGCACACGATGCAGTCCTCGAACAGGTAGGCAAAGACGCCAAGGCTATCGTAATCACGTAGAGCGGTGTTGCGAAGCTTGTTGAATTCGATTTTGTTTTGGGTTGAGACGTAGATTGAAGAGATTTTGGTGGAATCGCTAGTGGGCGAGGGAATCATTACGTCGGCCGTGAGGCAAGAAGTATTGAAGCGTTGTGGAATGGGAGATTGAAATACCGTCCCGGTACTATTGAGATGGTCAGCTGTACAAGCTCTGTCAAAACACTCGAGTTGGTTTCCGGACTTGTTTCCCTTCTTCACAGCCAAGGACCCTCCTACGCCGGCTGCTACAACTGCGAGCATCGCAACGGAAGCGAGTGCGACGCTCAGAACAATGGCTGTAGAGCGACGCCCGCGTACACGCCTGATTTGCGAGGAGGGCGGCCTTGGGGCGCGTGATGTCTGCGAAGTGTCTAGTTGATGCTCCGAGTACCTATACCTGTAAATTTCCAAGTCGTATAGTGGATGGTCCGGTTAGTTATGTTCTTCTTCTTCTTCTTCTTCTTTGGGGTAAGGAACTGGCAGATGTAAGCGTTTGTCGAGCTCTAGGCCACTCATAGCTGCATCGAAAGCAGTCGACAGATTTGGCGAGTACTAAACGACAACAACACCGAGATGAAGGAAAGAGGCCCATTTTCATCATAGAGGAAGCAGTATTTACGAGACGAAGGCAGCGCAGAAAGGATCAGCGGCGTTCGCTACGGTCATTTCAGTTGGATAGCGGTGCGAACGATTTGTTTCACTTGCAAGAGTAACATGGGATATTTTTAGAGCACCTGAGAAATCCCAGCGATTTTTGTGTAAAAACTGTCGGCATACAGGCTTGCTTCCTCAATGACTTAGGCTCTCAGCCTCACTACCACATTCCAACAGATTTGTTAAGGAAATGAACCCTGGGTAAGACGCCGTTGAGGTATGTTGAGCTCGCAGACAACATGAAGAAGCAAATTGGTGAGTTGCACTTAGCCTCGTGCTCGAACTTAACATGTAGCCGCTCTTTATGGGCAGTAAGCACGAAAACGGCAATAACATGAAACAAGTTCTGGGTGCCGTATCCGCCATCCCACAAATTCAGTGTTGTGTATGGAATGGAGAGCTCGGCCGCGGACGTAAGCGGTGAGCATGAATATAGAATACCAATCCATTTCGCCAAGCTTCAGGGCCATCCACTGAAGCCCGTTTTGGATGACCAGCCCTCCCCCATAATGAGATGGAGATATGGGAAGTCGGATCATAGAAACCCCATGAGAATAAGGCTGAAACGCCATCGGACCAGCTGATGACCGGGCGTGTGTGTGTGTTGGCGAGCGACCGAGTGAGTGCCAAGAACAGCTGTCTGTCTTAGATCCTCGATATCGAAATAGCCACCGGGAGATGGGCGATCGGGACCGGCACAGATGGATCTGTGCGTAAGGTAACTTGCCATTGCGACGTACGTGTAAGAGACAACCAGCCTGGAATCGATAATGAGCCAGAGCGCTAGTATCAGTCGAGATGATTGTTTGAATAATTATTATAATTACAGTATCCGGAGAGTTGATGCAGCGCAGGAACACATCATGTTCCGTCATCACAACCATTCAGCTGGTCCAGACCATTGCAGGTGTCGGTGCGCTTTCCCAACACGTGACGGCGACACAGAGGCATTGTGGATACCTTACATCAATGGACGGACCTTGGGAGTCTCGAGTCTAAACCACAATGACAATGACAATATCGAGTGATTAAAGTAAAGTACTTTACTGTAGCGTTCGGGTGGCGCCAGCGCTTATAAGCTTTCTACCGGGTGAGGGTCCACGCAACCCCAGAGCAAGCATGCCCAGGAGCTGAGATGAGAAATCGAGACCCACCAAAACTCCGGCCTCTTATAGGGTATCATGAACCCACACGGAGGTCTACCCGGCCCTCTAGACCGGCTTCCTCCAAACCTTTGCCCAGCATCGTGCTTTGAGCGCTTAGGTCGTAAACTTCGAATATGGACTTCGCTATGTTGTATGAGACCAGCGAGCTAACGTCGATCTCAACCACGGTACTGATAGATATTTGAAGGCGCTCAAGCTAAGTTTATTGATATGGATGGGATCTTTGGCAATGCCTCGATGTCTTCGGTATGACAAGCTCCGACCGCGAGGTAGCGGAAATGAGGTCGCCCCTTGCGGGTGCGCTATCTGATACTCTTCACCTTCCGTTGTTCGGGAGGAACCTCGTGATATAAATTCCCGAGGCGGAAAACAAAATAAGCCTCTATAGCGATGATTGTTAGTAGCAAAGCACCGACGCCAGTGTTGTAGCCGATAAATCATTAATCGATGAAATGAAAAGACATTGTGTTAAAATGAGGTCGGGATTCAACAAGGTCACAGATAGCGGAAGATACAGAAATGAAACAAGGAGCGTAGAATAGCTCAAAAGTTATGTAGACAGGCATTATATACAACTATGATCTCCGACTGCCATGAGCGGTTCGCCAGTTGAGATCAAACAAGATAGGGGAATATGGCCGCCAGCATTAAAAGCGCAAGGCTGACCATACCATTTTCGCCAATCCTGGCAGTACCAGCACCGTTATCGTTAGTACTCGTGACAGTCTTGACCTGCGCTCCCAGCATCGCAGAGTAGTCCGGGCCCATCTTATAAGCCGGCCCCGGCGTATCGTTCCCCGAAATGTCTGCTGCAATCTTCTCTGCTAGCGCATATATCGTACTTTGTGGATGACCCGGCGGCAAAAATGGAAAAGAACTCGCATCGACCACTCTTAGATTCTGCGTTCCGTAGACTCTCGCTTGGCTGTCGAGGACAGCCATCGAATCGTTTCGCACGCCCATCTTGCATGTGGCAGCCGCGTGGTAAACTTGGATAATGCTCTTCTGGATGTATGCCAAGATATCAGCGTCCGAAGTGACGTTGGCGCCTGGAAGAGCTTCCACGCCGTTCGTCAGGCCTTGACTGGTGAGATAGGACCATATTTCGCGTTGGCGATGCACAGACTGGATATGTCGGTGGGGTCCGTGAGCCAATTGGGGTTGATGAGGGGTGGGTCGAGCATTGATGCGCTTTGCAGACTAACATTCCCTCGCGAGAGAGGCGAGACGATGGCGGTGTTGATGGTGGCGGAGTTGGAGCCATCTCGGGGATCGGCGGTTTGCCGGTCTTCTTGGTAGCCTAGGTATGCGCTTACGGGGAGCCATTCTAGCTCCGGCCAGTCTGTAGGGAAATTTGCCGCAAGGGCGGAAAGGGACGCGTTACTTAAGTTCGAGCGGTACGGTTGGGGTAGATCCTCGAAGCCATAGTAGCTGGCACCGAAAATGGAAAGGGGGCCTGTTGCGTTTTGTTGGAAGAGTTTGACTCCAGCAGCAGCGAGGGTTGCATTGTTTAATGCGGCGGAAGCGGTGTTCACATTGACGCGATAGTCTGTGCCGAACAGAGTGTGATCCCACATGTTTTGGCCGACACCCGGTAGATCTTTGAGGAACTGGTATGCCGAATTGTGAAAGAGTAGCCTTAGGGCCGATGCCGGACACCATGAGAAGCTGCGGCGATTGGAAGACACCGCCAGACACTATTACTTCTTTCCGTGCGCTTAGAGTGTAATTGACCGCAGGTATGCCATACGGTCCAGCTGTAGTAAGCAAGACTCCGGTGGCCGTGTTGTTAGAGCTGAATAGGATGCGCTGCGCGAAGCTGTTTTTGTATACGGTGGGCGAGGTCCCGTTCTGCAACGCTGCTTGCAAGAAACTGGACTCGGACGAGGAACGGTATGCATTTCGTGGGTCAATCGTCAACGTTGCGTAGGCGGAACCCATCAAAGATCCACTGTTTAAGCCATTTAACGCCTTCATTCCAACAGCCTCGAACCCTTTTTGAGCCCACGTGCCAAAGGGGTCGACAAAGTTGCTAAAGGATATAGCAAGAGGTCCTCCAGCTGGATCGAAACTGCTTGGATCTTGTGTGTTCGTGGCATTGGTATACAAGGCTTGATTGGGCGCCGTATAATTGCAAGACTTCATGTAGTAAGGGAGGAAGTTATCCCAGGTGTAGCTTTGATCGCCGACCTCATCGGCCCATTTTTGCAGTGAACCAACGGTAGGTCTGATTGTTCAATGTCAGAGATGCCTGGCAAGGTCCATAACTGCCATTGGTATTGACTGAATTGTGGTATAGCAAGTAGTTTCGAGCAGAAGAACCACCTAGAGTCTTTCCACGCGCATAATGGATGTTGCGATTGGCTGCTCCCTGCGAAAGAGCTTCTGTCATCACCTTTCTCTTCCTCATTGCAGTCAACCTACCGCTTGTGGTACTGTATGAAAACCCCAATCGACCAATGGCTGATAGTTTGTTGGGGCAGCTCCAGTATAAAAATTGGCGTATCCAGGCGTAACGCTGAGGTTTCCATTGTCTATCTCGTAGAAGCCTCCAGCCTCAATTACAGCGACGCTGACGCTAGGATCTCCCGCCAATCGTGTGGCTATTGCCAATCCACCTGTGCCACCCCCAACTACAACGTAGTCAAAGGTCGCATTCGCGCCAGGAAGGCCAAAGGAGCTTCCTAGAAGAAAGCCAAGCTGTCCATCGGAGAACAGATTGTCGTATCCTAGGGCCGCTGGAAGGAGGAAGAGGAGGATAGAGAGGTTGTGCCGGAGATGCATTGTCGTGACCTGCATCGGCGGCTGGAAGGAGGATGTTTCGAGGAGGGGGAGGAGGACGGATAGGATTCTGAGGCTGAGATGGCGATGAAGATAGACATTGTTGCCGATCGCGACAGCCGGGCGTTAGAGCCTCAGGAACGACCCTCTTCAGGATTCAGGCCCTATCCCAAGCCTGAACTCTAGTACCAACCAGCTGTAGAGTACATCAACAGTAGAGTGCATCAAATGTTGGAATGAAGTTTGCCGTTGGTGAGGATCACGTGCATGCCGCGCATTGCAGCCGAGCTGCGCTAGTTGAAATCGACTAGGGGTGTGCTTGCCGACGTTTTGGATATCCTTTCGTTGGGTGAGGTACCAACTTGGAAATAAATGCTCTTGTTATTGACGCAATTAAAGAGTAACGCCAGTCGCTAGGAAGTAAGCATGATTGTGTTGTACATATTGCTAAAACCTCCGACCTCGCGACCCCCCATTGAGGCTTTCCCATAGCAAAGCTGGACATAGAGCCCCTGATTGTTGGGCTTTTCCTTTTTTATATAAGGCTGCCCTTGGATCTCTAGGTGAGATCAATCATCATCCATCGGCGCATCGCAGGTCCTAGCTCTTGAGTAAGCCTCATTAGCGTGCATGGATATATGCTTTGCCTAAGCTATGTGGAAATCTCATTATACTGGGTGATTATTGTTATTCAGGTATGCAAGCTTCTTTTCAATACATGTCACACACTTATGGACGCTGGAGCTAAGGGACGAGGTAATTGCATGGCACGATTACCTAGAATACAGACGAGAATCTGGCAGCTCCAGCCTGGTAGGAGATTGTTGCAGATTATGCGGACTGGGAGCTAAAAACGAGGAACGTGCAACTTCTGTTCCTTGATATTGAGCTTGGCTTATTTCAGGTCTGAACGAAGTCAAAGTACTCTAGTGTGTTCGTCTAGTTTCCCAAGAGAAGAAAACTTGGGGGAGACACGACATCGCCTCTGGGCTTATACATAATATTCTGTCGCCACGTCTACTAGAACGCTCCTTGGCAACCATTTCATTGCAAGCAGAAATTGCTTCCCATTTCGTCCCAGATCCAGCCCAGACGACCAGTCCTGGACAAATAACACGTTCCATTCTTTCAATAATGGTGTTCGGACCCAGTTGAATCTATATAGATTTCGCGGACCTCTTTCCGGATCTCTAGCGGGCGTTTTAAGTGTGAGAAAGGGTCGTGTACTGAAATCTCCTATCGATCTCCTAGCCATAGGGTTCGAGGAGAGCCGCCGCGGCCTCTTGACTTATGCCTTACCCAACCTCTTTCATTAGATCATGGTTGATTTTTTGAGAAGTTCGTATGTCTCAAACTCAAAGGGCATTGGAGAATGGAGCATGCGATGACACGAGTGTGTCAAAATTGCCAACATTTCCCGCCATTTCGCAAGACTTGTGGCAGTGACGCAAGTGTGAATTGAGTTTGATCTCCCTGCGATAGTGTTATGGCATGAGCCGCCTGGCGGACTTCACCACGTGCAACGTGCAGATCGAAAGACGTGACTTTCAACTACACTTCGATGGGTGAAAGCATGCTGATATCATTTCGGACTTGCATGCTAGAAGATGATGGCTCTCCAGATGTAGCAATGTTGCAAAGATAGACAGGTACCCATACATCAAGCTTTGAAGAGGACGATTGCTGCTCCTAAAACGGCATAACATTGGCTCGCAGGATCAAAGGTTGTGAGAAAACACTCGAGGGAATGTCCCCGGGAAAGCTGTACGAAGGTAAGCAACACCTCATGATGGCCATAGCAATCTGCATCATTAATGATGATGAGATCATTCACGGAAAGTCGTATCAGTGGGCAATCAAGATGTCGCACGAAATGGACTTTGATCATTTGCACCTTTGCAGTCGCAGTGTACCATTCTAGGCTAAGGGAAGAAGGCACGTACAACTAGAGGTTTCGCAACTAGTATCTAGGCGCTGCGATTCCATGTTTCATCATTGCTAGTAATGTTGTACGAGTGAACGTCGTTGTTCATCATTCTTCGCATCAGCAATCTTAGCACCGCCAGAGCCTAAGAAAAGATCTCTAGCACTTGAGACAGCTATTTCTGAGAGACAACAGAGAAATCTCTGAAGTACCATCGTTATTCAATGGAAGCGCCTTCTATTGACAGAGGGATCGTTGTTGTTGTCACGTCCTTGATCTTCCTGTCTTCCGTCAGCCTAGTGGGACTAATGCGAATTGGGATAGTGCAGCAGGGGGTTCCGGGTGCACTGTCCGACTTCTTTCAGGCTCACCGGGCTCGTCCCCACGACACTAAGGCTATAAGTAGTTATACCGGAGACTAGCCATCGCAATCCATGGCGGTTTCATCCATAACGGTCTGCGGACTCGATACATAGTACAGCTTTCACAGCCTATCTCTGACTATGATTCGACAGCTACTCGCAGAGTTCAATCGATCTGCGTTCACCGTGATGGCGAGATTTTCCATCCAAGTATCTCAGTGGAAAGATATGTATGTCTTTCTGGAAGCGCACGCAAATCTCCATCTTGGGTAGAGTACGGCACGAAAAGTTTTTGCTACTAATAAAGTGACCACTTTGTCTATAGAGGTCTGCACCGAAAGTCCTGCACCCGCACTAGTGCAGCCCTAGCCCTACTTTCGGAAAGCGGCCCTGTAGAGGGGAAGCCTAGAAATATCTTCTCACAGCGCATGGATGGGACTTTAGGTACTTCTTTTGGCTTAATAGGGGCATTAAGCCCCGAAACCTGGCTAGGGCTAGGTGCGATTCCGAAGAACTCCAGACGCATTGTCCAGGTAGCCCTTTAGGTGGGGCGTTATCCGAAGTCTGAGCGCAAGAGTGTTGGCGGGTGCAGGACTTTCGGTGCAGACCTCTGTAGGGGTGAGGCTCTACGCAAAAAAGTCTCACGTTACGCCAACCACCTGATCATCACCCCGGTCGATTTCATTTGTTGTTGCCAGTTGGCGAACGCTGGCGTTACAGCCTCGCTGCAGTACGTGTTTCATCTCAGAGAGCCAACTTGCGGCTTAGCGCAGGATGCATCCGCAGCAGCGAGAACTTCTTGCGAAAAGCCTCAGAATGTTGCGTTTTGAGAGTTTCAAAGAAACAGTTACAAAAGGCTGTTTGTTCTAGAAATAGCGAATCGGGTTTGTATATGAGGTTGGCTTTGTCGCCCTTTGTCATGGCCATACCATTTTCTTTGAATTCTGAATACCTTCAATTTGGACAATCTCCACGTCGCGGCGCGTGTAATTTCCCCTGCATATATAACCGTCGCAGATTTTGTCGCATAGCTGTCTTCTAGAACGGCCTAGCTTCAGTTGCACGATAGCGAAACTCCATCAAATTTAACGCGTCCTCCCCCAGTTTTCCTTCTCCAACAATCACCATGTTCCTGTCGTCGCTCTTGGCAGCCTCCTCAGTCCTCCTCGCCACTGCTCTCGCAGACTCCTCGCCCTACTCCAAATTCATCGACGACGCCAACTCTCTCCTTGCGGCCGCGACCGGCAATGATGCGGCGCAACTCAATGCCCTCTACGGCTGGCAAGCAACACAAACCGCCGTTCCCAGCGGCGACGTTGATTCCCAATATCAAGAATACCTCAATGCCTTTATGACTACTACATCGGCACCTTTACCGGCATGGGTGACTGCCGTTCCTTCGTCGCTCCAGCCGATCGCGACAAGCTTTCTGCAGGCGGAGGCGAGTCTCGTGATCCAGGACATTGCGCCGATCGTCAGCCAGAATAACGCCGCCGGGTCTATAAATTCTGCCGGTCAGGCAGCGCCTACAACCACTTCGTTGAAGACCACGGTGGTACCAACACCTGCGCCGAGCGCGACGGCTAGCTCAGGCTTCGTGTCAGGTCCCGCGAACACAATTTCGTCGCAAATGTCGGGCAATGGCACAGCGCCAAGTCTGTCAGCGAAGACTACCGCAACCGCGCCGATCACTTCTATCACGACTGCATCGGGGTCGCCGACGAAGTCTGTGACACCGCTCGTGACGACATTTAACAAGACCAGTGAGGCGGAGAAGCCGGCCGGTGTGGCCGCAGCAGCCGCCGTGGTTGGGATTCTGGGTATTGTGGTCTTGTTGTAATGAGATAGCCGCGGACTTGCCATTTTGGTTGCCAATTTTTGTAGCGGGTTTGAGCGGGCGCTGAGTGGTCACTTTTGCTACAACATTGTAGGCGTTTTCAGAGAATTTGATACCCAATTTGTATAATATCTTTCACATCACGAAGCTCTCCAAAGTCTGTCTGCGGACTCCTTTCGGATTCTTGGCCTCGCAAACCGGACGCTTCTGAGTCGTTTTCGACATCACGGTCCGGCATGTGGGGTAAGCTAATTTCGAAGAAAGACGCTCGTACTCCTTGCAAAGGCAGACCGAGTATTCTCTCCGACGCGCTTAACTCCTAAGCTACACACGGTAGCGCCCTTCTCGCCTCTGCTGGCACTTGCCGCAGCTCTCGCTCCGATTTGGTATACGCAGGACTAGGACGCCGTAACCAGAATCGCTTCGAGTACCAATTGGGATGCGAAGAGGAAGGGCTCGCTTTGCGACGCAGCATCTCATGCGGATCTCGCCCCGTGATACGCGCGTGCACGTACCGGCTGAATGTTTTCAATCTCGGTACGCAGGCAGCGATGTTTCCGATGTTGACCTCGAAGATTCTCGTCATGGCATTAGGTACCCCGACCCAAGACAAGTCTTCGGACTTGATCTGCCAAGCGGTAGCTGTCCTAACGATAGCAATGCCTCCGGTGATGATCCCGAGCCCCATTAAACAGCACAGAGCGATCTTGCTCTGCTTCTTGATCTTGAGGTTCCGCAGTAGGACGATTGGGAAGGCGGCGCAGATGAAGTCTGTGATGAAGGAGAAGACGCGTTGGGCGATGAGTATGTTCATGACCATCTGCTCTGAGAAACAATTTCCTGGATCGGCCGGGTTCAAAACTTTGTCCACAGGGCTGCATTGGAAGACGGTCAGGAAGAAGAGGGTGAGATGGGTGACTACGAGGAAGCCGATTAGGCCGTAGAGAATGTGCTTCAGTCTGTTGAAATGGGAGAGGCGTAGCAGGAATAAGCAGATGGATATCTTGCACGTCGCGAGCGCGATAAAGAACTGAGCAGTATCGAGATTGTAGTATTTAAGGAAGTTTTGTACTGTTCAACGGAGAGATCGATTCGGTGTTGACCGCGGCCATAGCTGGCTTCAGTGACTACAAAGCCTTTACCTACGGCAGTGATCATCTATCCTCAACTGATAAGAGCACATTGGTGACAAAGCGAGTAAGGCATCATTACCTGAGTAAGGGCTATGGCGGCATCGTCCAGCCAAAAATTGCGCGTTATGAACACCCGGGTGTAGAGGCGCAGGGCAACGATCATGGTTGACAGAGAGAAGACTGCCCAGTCAATGCCGAGAAACACAGGGCCGAGATTCCCACCACTGGCTGTAGTATCAATGGGTTGCTGTTCATTGCGAAGCTGGAGTGGCGCGCAGCGTCGACAGTGGAGACTACATCGGTCAAAGGGACGTCGCCAGCGCACCCGGCGATTTGTAAGCTCCATCAATGAAATCAGGATCGTGGTGGTGGTGGGGACAGCCGAGTCGTCAACCAATCTTGAGAATGGCACTCCGGGGAGACTACCGTGCCGCGATCTGCTAGATGTATTGATGTGCACCCACCACAGCCAGAATTTCACCAACGTTCCCGCTCCTGGCAGACACATCCACGGGACACGATGCAGCACCGTGGTGTGTTGCACAAACAGAGGGGACGGGGTAGCGCTGATCTGGTAGTGTAGAGTACTAAGCCCATAGGTGCATTGGCAATGGCACTGTAGCTCCTCTTCTAGAAGGACGGTAGAAGGTGGTTCCAATCTCGGTAGCAGAAGTCAGGCCAGACATAGGATTGTGGTGAAGAACTCCGTTGTACACTCGATCTAGGATACAGATATGTGCAAAAGAAACGGCGACACAGTGCCAACCAATGCTCGCCCAAACTCGCCACCAATGCTCAAAACGCCCAAATGCTTCTTGTTATGCAATTCCCGGGTATCATGTCGACGGAGGATAAATATATGAGACTAGGCGGCCTTTGCGGCCTTCGGCGGTGCAAGCTCGGTGCCAAAGACTGTGTCCCAAAAACGACTCGTGACGCCGAAGCCGTTCTCGTAGTCTGCGTAGTGGTGCTGAAGATGATACTTCTTGAGCTGTTTGTAGTAGGATGGAAGGCTGCAACGGCGATTAGCGTTCGCTACAGGGCACAAAGAAAGCATGAAACTTACGTCTTGTGATGTAGGAAGTAGTGGGTCAAATCATAACATATGTAGCCGAATATCCCTCCGCAGAACACAGCTACTGCAGCGTACCAATCGTAGAAGAACACTGTATGTGCGAGCTTGTAGAAAGGTGTTGCAAGGGCGACGAAGAGGGTAGGAGGCATAACGAGGCGGTACTTGTCCATCGGAAGGTAGTGATGGATTCCGTGAAGGAGGAAATGGGCTGTGATACCAACGCGATTGTCCGGTAGATACCTACGCAACGTTAGTAGACTGTTAGTACTCTTAGAGGAGCCAAAAGCGCACTTATCGACATGGAACAATCCTCGGTGTAGCCCGTACTCCACCAACGTCCATAACCCGAGGCCAATGAGCCAGTAAGCTGCGGTCTGGAAGAAAGATGGTAGACCTTGGTAGGCAAGGAAAGAGCCATAAGCAACAGGTGGCAGCCACACGATAGGTATGATATACCACGCCGTCTTGCTCAGCGGTTCCAGGAAGTTTCCAAATAGAGGAGCCGAGTCGCCTCCGACGTAGTAACGAGGCCGATGGACTTGCTCTAGGTAAAATTCTTTCGAGAAGCCACCATTCCACACCTGCATCAGTAAAGGCCTGTTGAGGTCTAGGAACTTGTGTGTCTTGAAGTCCGCATTCAAATCGGTTTCCTTCGTCAGGTCCTCTACGCCTGAGAGGCCTGTGGCTGCGAAGATTGGCTTGCTCTGATCGACCTCTCCGATAGCGCCATTGGCTTTCATTGCCTCCATTCCTGCTTTATTTGGTAGCATAGGCACAATGTCCTCTGGCCGGTCGTGCTCCACGACTGCTTTGATGGTGGCCTCATTAGCCACGAAGCCAATCAAGCTCTCCTTGAGGATTTCGTAGGCAGCTTCGGAGTGTGCATGTGATGATTCGTCGCCCATTATCTCTGAGACATCTTTCCCTCCGTATTCCAGTATCAGGTCTCCTCCACCTGGATGGTCGGAGAGAAAGGATGTGACATCGTAGACATTGGCGCCAACGGTTACATAGCAGGACCTCTCGCTGTTGCGGGAGGCAACGTCGTGCGTCGGAATCGTAGGGAGTCGTACGCCAGGCATAATGAGAGCAGTGATGGGGAGAGAATAAGAGAGGAGAAGAATCAGGTTGAGGATGATGAAGAATAAGGCATCAATGGAGGCTGTGAGGAGAGCTGAAGGGGCGTGGCAAACCAAAATCTGAAATTGTCATCATCCGAATTATCTCCGGGGCTAACGGAGAGCATCCCTTTCAGCCCTATAACAGTATCAATCCTCCGACTACACCTCATCATCATTCACTTCTCGGTATGGTCTTGTTTCTCACCCTGTCGCGAGTTTCAACACAAAGCAAACCAGGTAGCACTTTGAGACGTCTATGAATTATGCCCATATGCTCACACTACCACTGCACAGTGACCTTTTTTATGGCGAAGGCTAGTTGCCTCTTACGTGTGCCTTGCCTTAAATTGTGCCAGCTTCGCAACGATGAACGTAGCAGTACCTTGTCCGATGTGCTCGTAATCGTCCATTGCGCTGCCCTTTCACATTGTGTGAAGCTTCGCACACTGTGTCATGAACCGGCTACGGTGCGCATCGCCTGCCCATGATGTCGGAAAGCGTACTTGTCTGCTACTGTCTAACCATTGATTGCTACCAACAGTGCTACCATTTTTGAAAGGTGTTATACAGGTCTGTGGTGTCGCAGATTGAATTATCTTGCTTTATTATTCATCTTAGGAAAATTTCCATCGTCCTGGGCCTTTGGCCGGCCCAGGCCAATACTCGGCAGTTTAAGTCTGCTCAATTGATGATCTGTGGTTCGATTCCACTAATCATCATGGTCTCTGAGGGATTTTTATCTTGGCACAGAGGGTAACATTGGCGCAAGAGGTAGTTCGAGTCTACGTACAGTCAGGTGATGGTCTGTGGTTCGATCCCACTAGCCATTATAAAATACCTGTCATACCACTTTAATTTACATTTGCTTATTGTAACCCCGTCCTGAAAATGGCTGGGCACGTTGCCTTAGGTGGTCTGGAACTTCCCATGGGGTTATCCTACTTCACTTATGTGTTGTCCAGAATATAGCCAAGTTGGTCCATATGATAATGAAAACCTTGGAAGCGAGGCTTTCGTAGGATATTGTTCCGAGCTTTTTGCCTTTTCCATACTGTGCCTACGGCGGGTTGTCTTACTCTTCAGACCTTCTACCAGACATCTAGAGAAATACCCTCCATACATTATCGTTCGAGATCTCCAAGATAACGGGCATTTACCGTCTCAAACAGTTGCCTTTTGGATCGAACCAAGAAGAAACTACGAGTTCTTGGAGTTTGCTGTCTCATATCGGACAAGGCCAAACGTTCAACACAAATGCGCGAGAAGGTGTATGCGTAAAATGATGGCGAATGCTCCCCTTCCTCAAATATGCATGCATGATCAGATTCATGCCACACCTAAGCCTTTTATCTTCCTCACGGAAGCTTCCCATTGACCTCCTAGCCTCTGCACCTAAGTTCAAAACCGCGTGACTTAGCAATCCTTGTCTCTCTTTGACCCAAATTGCCCGGTCTTCGCGTCATTGCAGTGAGCACGCTAGCCCACTTCTTTCCGTTGTGGATTTGACAACACAAGTCGGTCCTCGAAATCACAACGTCGCATCAAAGCTACTCATGTCATCAACCACCACTTCATCAATCCCTATCGTAAAACTGAATCATCAAATCCAATACATCAATCAGTACTAAATATCCCTAACATGCCTTCCACGATGCACCTCAGCAGACAGCGTCGCGTTCATACACCTAGCTCTGAAACAATCTGCACAGGCACTCGTGCAGCAGTCAAGAGATTCGGACAAGCTGCCCTCGAACAGCAGAAAGAATTGGTAAAGGACGCCGCGCTAAAACGTCTTGAAGGCAAGTCAATCCTTAAGCAGCAGGATCGATGAAAGAAAGATTGACTCCTATTAGAGGGCGGCTGGGTTTTCCTCCAAAAGAACCCCTCGTCAGATATCAGCCATAAGACACACATTCCTCAGGCGACATGCGCCTGTCCGTCCTGTCCGGCTTTCAACCAACCCTTTCAAGCGGACGAGCACCGTATCAGCATCGAGCCGCTAGCGAACATCCTCCTGAAGCATGTCCCGAACGATGCGCTGGCAGATCTGGCCACAATGCGTGCCTCGCCGATCGACGGCGAAGCCAACCTTCGCGGGAAAGGGGAAAAGAGTTGTTTATGGATGCATGTCACTTGTGCAGATTACCTGGGTATTGACCAACTCGGTTACACAGATCGCATCCGCATAGAGCAACGATTATCTAGCATTTCTGGGTTGCATTACATGCTGGAGTCCCCCTAACAATATTCAGTACTTATGGATACTGGTGGTCAAGGGAGACAAGGGCCTAGCTGGGGTGGAATGGAGGGACTTCTGGTGCAAAGACGTCGGGCTAGCCGTATTCTGTCCCTTCAACATTTCAACCATGCTGGATGGTGGAAGGGTGTGCGCATTGAGGTCGCAGCAAAAGATGTCAGAAACCGGCTCCTGAGCACAGTGCTTACGTATACGAGTGTTCTGAAAGAGCGAGCCTGGAAGCTGATGGCCAATGCAGACAGGATAGCGAGGCTTACACAAGCTGCAAACGCTATTGGACAGAGAGCAGTGGATAGGCTAGCAGAACCGGAGGGAGAGAAGGGGACGATAGAGGGCGAAGAGGTAAATAACACACTGTCACATACAGGTCCGTGTTAACACTGACCAGGACAAGGGTTATGAGGCTGACTTCGATGAATTCGGGTTTCTATCGGCTGATCAAGCTATGCTCAGACACAGCCATTTGGCAAAAAGGGAAAAAAAGTCAGTCAGAAAGAGGGCCATGAGATGGCATTTCTGTCGACCGAATCGCAATGGGTGGGACGACTACTTAATTGGACAGCGCAACGCCGCTCTCCGCGCCACTGAGCCCGAAGTGGACTTGGCCGAAGCCTCGATATCAGAGATGGAAGTCTCATCTTCGGAGTCTGGAAATAGCTCCGCGGAATCCTTACATTTGGTGACTCCGATGGTGCGATTTCTTGTGTCAGATGCTGAGGATGCCTCGTCTCGATCTCCGGATTCGCCGATGCAAGAAGCCCCCTTGGAGACCGCCGACGATCCCCCTTTGGAAGAAGACGAGTCCTTAGACTCTTGGTCTGACCCGGACGAGACTCTCGCGACCATTGGTGATAGCGTTGGCCTTGCCGTGAGGCTATTCTAGACTTCCTGCCGCTGTTCTGCAGTGAGAGCGACAACAGTGGGCAATGAAGAGAGGGACTATGAGTTGATTTTATTCTTCGATTGTTGACCTTGATGGTCTTAGCATTTTGAGATGGGATTTTGGTTGAGCAACGTATTGTAGGAGATACCCCATTACCGTTACTATCTTCGATACTTGGCCTTGTGTGATTGGTCGTCGTTATCGGAAAGTGCGCCCGTCTCATTCAATTCGTGCGGCATGCTATCAGAAACGAGACTTCACCTTAAGCAAATGTTGTATCAAATCACATGGCCGCAACTATCCTGAACCACTGATTGGCTCACTTTCCAAGCTGCTCATGCAAAGATCACTGTGAAGTTAGCAGTCACTGTTCCGCTTACATCACAACACGGATGTTGGTGAATCATCTAGCAGAGTCACTCACCAATCCCATTCACTCTTCTCCTCCTTCCTTTTCTGCCATGACAACCAGCAAGGGATTTCCTTCATTCGTCTCCGAAATTCACGCTCGGCGAAGAATGTCCCATGAGCATCCTCTTCGATTTAAACCCCCGAATTTCCAGCCTCTTCCTCTTCCCACCACACATACTGACTACCAATTGGGGTAAGTATCTTCTACATCTTACACCTTGCCTGTAGTGGCAAATCGAATCATGCTACCCTATCTTCTGCCATCAGCAATACCGAGCTTCACTATATGCTCTAGGATCCAGCATGTCGAGAACAGTCTTCAGTGTTGACATGTTTCCCTCAACATTACCTTATTTTGCCCTTTCCTTCACAGCCATAACTCTGTCAAGGCCACGAGCTGGTTTATCTTTAACAGATTCAAAGCAGGTGTAGACACCATCATGCTTTTTATATATAAAAATAATTACCAGCGAGGCCAGTATTCTCTTGCCCACACTGCGTCTTTCCTCGCAAAGGCGCCTCCAACCTTGCCACTGCAGTCAAAAATGCCCTGACTTCCTTTGCCCTTCGTGTGCACGTTAAGAAGTGAGGTCACGTGACTGGCGTCAACAAGCTCGAGCTCAACGCATGGTCGATTTCGATCATCAGCCAGTGGCAAACGGGCAAAGATGGAACGCTGCGAACTACCTTACTCGCCATTTCGATCGCCGCAAGACAGGGACTTGGCCCTGATCTTTTGGAACAGGGTGCCCTGGCGCCTTGGACCTCCAAATGGTCAGGTATGGGTGAGGTTCCCCGCTCGGGTAGTACGGTTATCCGCCACGGTGCCAGACGATGCCTCTACTTTGGCATCAGACATCACTCCTGAGGTAGGGATCTGGCCCATGAACGAGGCCCGATCCCAAGCGTCTTCGCCCAAGTCGGAACATGAGCTACCGCATTGGGAAAAGTCACTGTTAGATATGGGCAGATTCCGCCTCACCCGATCTGAGTCTGAAATCGACCAGGAAGAGAACTTGTTGTCAGCGGACTTCGTGATGGAAGACACACCATCGGAATTAGACAGCATTCGGTCAGAAGATGACGCCATGTCCGAAGCCAATGGCACCTCATCAGAGGCCGACGGTAGCATGTCGAGGCCAGTGGTACCTTATCAGAAGCCTACTTTAGCATGCCAGAAGTAGATGCCACCTCTCCAGAATCTCATAATGTCTCCTCACCTGAAGTCGATGGCGACGCGTCAGAAGCCGATGGCGCGTCTTCAGATTCGAAAAGCACTTGGTCGGAAGCCTCATGACGTCGGAAATCTGTACAACATGCTGCGCTATCGGGGTGCGTGAATGCGCCTAGTCTTGCCATTTCATCTCTCGGAGATTTGCGGTATTTAGCGACTGATCAACATCACTCACACAATAGTTTACGCAACCAAAAACATCTGAAGCTCAGTTGTATCCCGCGGATCTTAAACCCTCAGCTTTTGATAGCTCTTCCTCTCCCACACTATCATTTTACTTTCGGGATCCTACCTCCCAACATTAGATTACATATACATCTACGGGTCGAAAGATCAGGAAGAGCCAGGCCGAAGCTACGATGTGACTGAACACCGAGGACTGGATGTAGCAAGATATCTGGAAGAAGCTGGCACACCGGAGGAATCGTTATCAGCGGAAGTTCCGAAGAGTCACAAGGACCAGTTCAAGAAGAGATCGAGGTCGCCGTCGGTGTTAGAGAAGCAATTATAGGAGAGCTTCTCGAAATGATAGAGGAAGAGAACGGAATGTCTAAGAAGACCGAGGGAAAGGTAACTGACACTCTTTCAGATATATTTTCATACTGACATTGGCCAGGACAAGGGACACCCAACGGTCAAATTTGGCGCCCTCAACAATGACTACTTGATGACACAAGACAACAAAAACCTTGGAGAAAGAGGAATACGGTGGCGCCTGAGCCACCCAAACCTTTACTGGCGTCGGCGATATTTCAGCGAAGACAAGGAATCCTCCACTGAGAGCGCGTCACTGGAGGAACCCACACAAGGAAATTTGGAAACCAAAGACTCTTCTTCTGAAGCATCTTCCTTCTACGACACGCATCAGGCGCCATTTTGGGGCGACTGATTGGCGATGGTGCGATTTCTTGTGTCAGATTCTGAGGATACCTCGTCTCGATCTCGGGATTCGCAGATGCAAGAAGTCCCCTTGGAAATATATGGAGACTAAGAACCCTGCACAAATTTTGGGGGACTTGGTTGATACCGCTCTCGGAGCGGCGTCTTCCCGGAGATACTAATGAGAAGATATTTCCAGGTGGAGGTCACACCACAGGTATTGAAAAAGCAATCACGCTTCGTTAAAATTGGTGCTCCTGCTCTGTCGATGAGTCAGATCCCTATCACGAAGTGCGAGAACAGCCTGCAAGAAAGCACTCGTTAATCTCCCATACAATACAACAACATACAAAATGGTTTTTACCGGAACGTGTGATTACTTTCGCTGGTTTTCCCTTATCCCATTATCCTATGACCCTTTGAACTTGATCTTACATAGAAGATCCTTGGATGACTTCAGAAAGAGCTCTTCTGCGCAGTTCTCCAAGCTTTCCGGACTGGGCAAGACAGACGGGCTATCACAATTGGGTCCCTCGAGTAAGAGCCGAAATTTTTGGTGCTATTGGAGCCTTTGTGTCATGGGAACAGATCGTCGGGACGGCAGAGACTGACATTAAAGCAAACGAAATCGCCCAACTCTACTTCGAGGCTAAAAAATACCGGGAAAATGGGCTTGTGTACCCGCGGCTATCAGTGGAGGGTAAGCCGGAGCGGACCTCCACTGTCTCCACGAAAATAAAGAAGGATATCGATATCTCCGCCGAGATGACGAAGCCTGACAGGTTGATTCTTGGAAAGGCTCTCCTTACCTACATCACTCCTGTTGACAAGAGCAACCCCAGACTTACGGAAGCAGGAAAAGCAACATAGTAGGCGAGGTTCTCCGTTCAAAAATGGTGGGTTCATTGGAGTACAGACGCCGAAGGTGGGGTCTTATGAGTGTTGCCTTTTGATCATTCGAAGGATGGATGAATGGATCTTTATTCACGAAAGCAGAGTGGCAAGGATTCTGAGGCACCACCCCTCACCATTACGAAAAAGGCGGTCGTCCCACACTGGTTTCCAGAGCTTCTGAGACATGTTAAGCCTGAGTATCGGCTCAAAATATTGGTTCTGGAGAGACCGGTAAGTAGCTAGACGCTAGAAGATGACTTTGTCGTCATGCTAATGTGGGTGATAGATGAGCGCCTACGAGGTAGAGGGTCCCGAAATTGTGATCATCCACTACGAAAATGTACAAAGTCAGTCTGCAGCCAAGGGCAAGGCTCTCCAGGCCAAGATAAGAGGCCGGTGCGGAGTGAGACCAGCTATCGTGGGGCAGCTTCAGGGTCTACAATGGGGTCGATGCTGATGGTAGCGTTTCATTGCTGGGAAGCCTGGAGAAGGACATAGCGCATCCTGTTGGTGGCTGTTGACAATTGCTAGAGACGAGTGTTGGACAAACGCTGGATTGTATGATAGAAAGCCGAAAGTACTGATAGTATGAGGTCAAGAAGTGCGCTTCAAGCGCGGCTTGGCGAAAACTCTCCGGGACGAGCGGCAGACCTCAAATTTGACCTCATATTTTCTTTCGTTGCACCTTTTTGACAATGGAACCCCGTTGAATAGTCTTTTACAAGCCAAGCGGAAAGTCTGGTGGCCTAATAGCGCTCTAAGGCTTTCCAAGTGGTACATTTGACCCTTTTCACTCAGCATCAGTGCCCACTGAGAAGTCGAAGCAGTATGCTTTTAGCCTAGGTCTTGTATTACAGTCTAAATCCTGTTCGTCGACCTATGTAACAATTGCGTACAGTCACTCCTTCATCTTGTTTTGTTTACTGCTGCTGTGTAATGATGCTACGCCTAGGACTTGCAATCGCTCCATCCACCAGGCTGCTTGCCCCTACAAAACATCGATCGTGCATGCGTAAGATCATAGTGCGCATGATGTGAGAAGTTAGAGTCAAATGCTTTCGTAGCCGACATTCGCATTTTTTCAGCATACGCAATAAATGATTTAGCGAATCACCATTTCATTCAGCGGCCTCAGTGGTGCACCATTCCTCGGGATTACCGGATTTTCAATTGTAAATTGCTGAACCCTTGCTAAATAGCCCGCAAGTTCGATCCTTGCAGTTGCCGTTGTTTCTTTTGCTTTTTGTTTTATTTTTTTTTCTCTTAATTTTTTCTTGCTACCTTTTTGCTATGATCTTTTCTACGCTTAATAACACCCTACCTTAGCCTAATGGCAACAAGGCAGACAGTCCCGCATGTATTTCAAGCTCTGAGGGTTGACGACCCGGCATTCGACTAATCGGCCAATCACCGGAAGTTTCCTCCTTTGTTTTCCTCATCCACGCCCAAAGGTTCCGCCGGCAGTATTCGGCCTTAACACTTCTAGCATCTGCGTTTCCCTTCCGATTAAGATATAACCCATCATTTGACGGTAGCAGATCAAGTCATCCCGCTTTATCATGGCTCATCTAGTGGCAATCCCCTTCATCTGAAGGGGTCTCAACCCCTTCCGATCAAAGCAAGCGCCGTGCAGCCTCCTTGAAGGCAGCACAGTCTTCATGCCGCGTGGTCGTGCTCGTCACCAAACTTGGGCTAGCGACCAGCTTAGAGTCCTACAAAAGCTCTACGAAGGTCACGATAACTCACCGTTACTGGAAATGAGCAGTTGGACTGACAGACAACAGAATGCTATCGATTCGTCATCCAGAAAGTACCCTCCTCCTACAATCGTCCTCGAGGACTGAAAGATACCACCTGCCGCCACTCTGATTGTCCGAACAAGGTCACACCTCCTGGCTCATACCGTGCGAGCTTGGAAAAGCTTGGAGACTGTGATCCAGCGAGCAACGTCATTGGCTATGAGGCCATCGATTCTCTCAAAAATGTCAGGAAAACCGAGAAAGGCTCTCAAGGCAGACGTGGACTCGGTGCTAGCGGACAAGAATGGTGGTGTTTGAAGTGCCTGGAGGCTCTCTTTGTTGATCTTCGCCAGCACGTTTGGAAGCACAAGCCAGATGGCTCAACACTCTACGTTCATCCCCTCACCTCAGTCCAGTACTGGATCATACCTGAAAGGCGGACAATACCACAGTACGGCGGTATTTACTACACTCTCCGAGCCCCGCAAATGCACCTCCTCGCAAAGTGGCAAGGAGTGAAGACCTTTGACGAACTCTGTGACCGCCCAGCCGAAGGGCATTTCGATCTTCCAGAAGACCCGGCAGACGGACCATTTACCCTGTATTTGGGCCATGATGAAGAGTCTTTCTATCTTGATACAGTTACTAGGGACATGAGAGGAGTCTTAGCAGAAAATAAAGTCTGCGAGATTAACGCTTGCGACGTCCGAGGTTGCTCGCTGAGCGAGGCTTTCCGGAGGCTGGATAAGAAGGAGGATCGCATGGTCGAAGAGAAGTGGATGCCTATAATGGCTGAAAGAAAGAGGAAGGCAGACGCAGGAGCAGAAGAAGAAGGTCAATGTGCTGAAGAGCAATTGACTGGAAGGAGTGGGGAGCTGGCAGAGGAAGCGGTGTCAGAGAAGCCAGAGAAGCCGACCGACTCCGTGCATGCTCTTTTCGAAGGATACAGGCGTGCTGTACCTGTCGTCTATGTGGGTAACGACCTACCGGCTAACAGCGGAAAAAGGAAGAGATGCGATCTAGATCAGAGTCAAGAGCCCGCCAGGCCCAATACCTTCGTACCACAGGCGTCGGGTAGTGTGCTCGCGCATATCACGAGAAGAACAAATAAGGCGGCTCAAGCCTGCTCAGCGTCTCCCGACCTCACACGATCACCCTTTGATTCTGCTCATTCTTCCGGAACACAAGTCGGCTGTCAGGCTGTCTCACGTCCCAACTCTACCGCTAGAACGACACAGGATGCGGCTCTATCCAGCTCACCAGCTTTCGATCGCCAACTACCAGCCCGCACTTCTGCCCGTTTCCTGGAGGTTGCGAATGGAAGGGAAGACCCTCTATCTTTGGTCTCCCAAGCTGGCTCAGGCCCTTATGCCACCGCAGCAGTGCAGCCATCTCCACCTCCGAAATTTGCTCCAAATCCAGCATCGAGGCTTTGCCACAGAAAGCCAAGGGTAAACAGCGGAGCGCCAACCGTGGAGCAAGAGAGGTAGGAGTCAAGCGATTGAGTGAGCCATGAGATAGGCAAGGGGGACAGCAGTCCGTGGGATGTGCGAGCTGTGAAGCTGGCGAGGGAGGAAGGGTGAAGAAGAATAGTGATTGGTCTGAAGTATTTACCGTTTGTCTTTATGGGAGGTATAGCAACAAGGGTCCTTTACGTCAATTATGACTGAACGATTGATGAGCAACGAGTCATATACACCCCGGGATACAAACATCAATGAAGGCAGAGATTACTGTCTAAGAAGCAATTTCTGGCGTCACAAAAGTACGTGTAATGATCCAACTCACATCTCATCTCACTGCCATGCACCACGTGAAGGAAGTAGCCTCCTGATGATAAATTTCACTCCCCTCAACACATTCATTTCTGTCTAAACGAAGGTTTGAAAGTGATCATCGATGTCACTCACCTATTTGAATTGATTCCCTTTGGCATCCTAGGGTATCTAGAACCCCAAACTCGCGGCTCTTCTCTTCTTTCATACACAAACATCTATACATAACATATCTTTCAGTACTGTTGAACAAACTTCCAGTACCAGTACCCCGTTAACTAGTTCCATTTATATTCTCTTTTGAGATAGCCGCAGCATGCTTCTCCTCTGATTCGACTAGCAGCCGAAGTAACACAAAAAAAAATCCTGTCTTGACACACCGTCAGCCTCTTTCTCCATACATTCACCTACATCGTCGAGTCGCTCTACCGGGAGACCCGATCGGTTCCGTCCCTTCCTGGCGTGCTTTCCCTGAGCTTGCCACATTCTTCGACGACATACTTTCAGAAGGCGCCTAGCTACTTTTGGCGTCGTATCAGAGCTTAATGGACTGTTACTAGGTAGTCATATGCTGGTCGCCCAGAAGACGGCCGGCATCGTTAACGCAGCACTACCCCAAATAACCTGTCATTATGACCACTCTCATGGGTCAGGGCAAAGGAGGGGAGATTTAAACATGTCTGAAGGGACATGAAGGAGGAAGAGGTGAAGGACGACAACAACGGTAAGCTTTTGTTGGCTTCTCACTCTTGCTTGCCCGCGCTAACACACACTTTCCAAGACTCCGAGGTTGGAAGTGAGGCAGCGAGCGGTGCCTCAGGACGTAGTACAGCTCGGAAAAGGCAGAAAACGAGCGTCAAGCTTGACAAGCTTGCCTACAAAAGAGCCACGTTCAAAAAAGAGCGTGCCCGCCGCACAGTCCCCAACGCCGGTGCACAACCCTCCTCTTTGACTTCTCAGCCCACGCCAGGGGTCACTTTCAAGCTAAAATTCAAACCAAAAGCTCCTCTTCCGCGTGCTCATAAGAATCTCTCCGGAGCGAAACCGGCATCAGAAGCCACAAAATCAAGTCCAGAGAGCCATGACAACGAAACGGAGAAGGGCGGCAACGACGCTTGTTCGGGTTTCGAACCTGTCACGAAGACGAGGGAGCACGACAACTTGCCGGCCCCTCCCGTTAGAATGACGGCCAACGCATGTCCAACCCCTTCCTCGACGACACCTGAAGCTGCCTGCAAAGTTCATAGAAGAGATCGCCAAGATGCTCGAGTCTTCGCAACAAAGCTCCAAACCTGGAAAGTGAGAGCGAGGAGAGGCGGAGGAAGCGGGCAAAGTTCGCATAGGTCGGTTGTCCCTGGAGGCCTCATTGCTCTACATAAGCGATTTGTACGGGGGAGAAATGCTTCATTAGCAATACAAAGAGACTACATAAAAAGTATTGATATCGTTGGTGATAGCAAGATGCCTTTACTTCAAGGCCATCCTCAGGTAGACCGTCACGGAGTCGGAGGTACCATCTTTCATGTACCCCAACCGCATAGTCAATCATTTCCTCTGACCGACTCTGTCGCCAGAAAGCTACTCGATGAAGGAGGCAATTCTCGAACAGTGTTTCCGAGTGAGCTTTTTCCTGATGACAGCAGTCAAATACTTTACCGCGATGCCGAAAGCCGGGATCCCATCGGTTTTTCATCCAACGACAAGGCTGCAGAGGTCACACGGGACCAAGTGTCGTGCAATCCTCGGTCACGCCAAAGACTGCGTTCAAATCTTCAAGGCATTAGACAACCGGTGTAGCTGGCTCAAAGAAGGCGATAGGGAAGCCAGAGCGGATGGTATGACACTTCGGGAAAGCGTGACCAAGCAGCACCGATGGGTGGATTATGCAGAGAGCGGGAAGATTGCTGAGAGTATATATGGAGTTCAATTAGCGACCGGGTACTTTCGGAATCGTAACGTGGGCGTGAATGGCCGTAAGTCATCGAGAAAAGTAGATAGCACACAGCGCGAGCCCGAAATTCAACGGTTTCATCTAGCAAATGATTCCAATTGTTGCAAGTTCCTTGATCGGGCGAATTACATTTCCATACCCCAAATCATAAAATTCTTACAAACTCATACTCTATCTTATATCTTTATATCTCTTAATTAATATATATAAAAGAATAAGATAGAACTAAGCTAAAAAAAATCTTAATTTTATATATATAGAATTAATTATAAATTTAAGATTACTATACTTTTTAATTAAATTATTTAATTTAATCTACTAATTCTCTTAAGTCTTCTTATTAAAAAAATAAGTATATATTATTTAAATTTAAGATAACTTTTTTATTTTTAATAATCTTTTAATATTTTTGAAATTATAAAGCGTAACTTACGTATTTTAATAGTCTTATTATATAAAGATAAGAAATTTAAATACGCTTATTAAAAACTTATCTATTACTTTCTATAAGTTAAGTTTATAAATTTAAACTTATTAATAAATATAAAAGAATAAGATAGAATAAAGCTTAAAAGATTTAATTATATATATATTATTAATTATAAATTTAAAGTTATTATACTTTTTAATTAGATTATCTAAATTAGTCTATTAACTTTCTCGCGTTTTCTTATCACCCCTGCCGAACTTTTTTTCGCCTCTGCCGAGCTGTAACCCGGAGAACACTTGTCAAAAGCCTCGTGCTTAGGCCACCAGTCTTGGTTGGGTTTGGTGGCGTCAAAGTTCGTCCAATTGGCTCCTCCTTTGGCTAATGCCTTCTTTCGGCATTGAAGATTTATTTTTAGGTCGCTGCTACGCGTAATCGTATCTACCCCCATTCGCGCCATCTTAAATCCGATAATTCCGACGCAACACCAAAATGCCTACCTTTCACCAAATTTGTTATAGCAAAATAGCATAATAATATCGATCTGTCATTGCTATTAAGGCTTCTATATCAGAGAGCCTAAATCACCGTTTTTTAGGCCTTATCGGCCTACCATGTCTTGAAAAAACCGTTACTACCTCTTGTTCTATTACCTCTTCTTCTTCTACCTCTTCTTCTACTATTTTCTTACCTCTTTTATCTCTTCTATCTCGCTATTATTACTGTAATAAAGCGAGATTTAATAGTAGTAGTAGGCCTAATGCGAGAGGTGTAGTAGTCTTTTTCTTAATTAGGCTTAAGTAGACTACATTTGAGTCTAGGATAGAAATATCTACTATGCCAGGCCTATAGACGGCGACTATGATACCGTAGTATTGGCCATTATGGTAGACTGTGGTAGTAGGCTATTTGAATGAGTGGTAGTAGTAGCTATGGTAGTGGTAGCTATCTATGTCAGATTTATCGGATTTAAGATGGCGCGAATGGGGGTAGATACGATTACAGCCCCTGTCTACTAGGCGTACAGCCCCCCTTTATATCAGGTACACGCAGTCTTAAGAGCTCCAAAGCTGGTGGTCTTGCTATCTATAGAGCGATCACGAGTGAACAAAATTCTCCCTCCCTTCGAGGCACCAGGGGCCCCTCCTATACACACTCGCTCCTTCGCTCTTACGGTGCGCTGGAATTTTACATAGACTAGCCTTTGCCGAGGGCTGACGGCTAAATCCCGGAGACATAATTTGGGCGTAAAGGGTATATACGCCTAGTAGACAGGGGCTGTACGCGTAGCAGCGACTTATTTTTAGGCAGGTCTGGATAATTTGTATTTACGGTATAAACACTTCGGACAATCATGCAGCCAATCTCAGATCTCATACAATGTAGGTACATAGTAGAGTAGATCTTGTTCATTGCGCGACATGCGCTTCTGTTTTCAATTTACCATAACTAATGTTCGCGATTATTCTGCTTTGGAGATTGCACAAAGGAAGGCTGGGGATAGCGTAGTTCGTATTCTGTCGGCTAGAATTGCCATTACTCATACTTGTATTCACTAAGATTTACAATCTCCAAAATTTATGATTTATTATTCTATAAATATATGATTTAAAAGTAGAAAAAAAGGAGGAGAGAGCGTAAAATGCGACTCTTAAAAAATTATAATTTTTATAATTGAATTCAAATTAATAAATTTATATAATAGTATATTAATCTTTATAGATATCGAGATCTATTATAATATCATATAACCTTATTAATATAACTCTAATTTTTATAAATTTTAGAGCTCTAAAAATCGCATTCTATAGTCTTTTAGGGGGTTTTTTTAAGTTTTTTATTACAATGTTGTGGAACGATAAATTGTAAAGATCGAATTTTAGAGATTGCAAATCCTAGTGAATACGAGTACTCGTATTCTGCCCCGCGTGCATCAGAGATGTTGGTGGCAGGGTCTCACATCAACCCTTAAACCGTAATGTCACCACCCTTCTTGAGTTATTTTTCTTTTCCTGTTTTCACCTTTGTGGGTAATCCTTCAAAGCGGTCATGCTCGGGTTGACGACTGGTAGAAATCGCAACATCTGTGTCAGTCTGTCAGCAGGTCTGCTGATCTTCCTACTATTAATATCCTATTCAGGATTAGGAACTAGAGAGAGCGAAGCCGGCGCGGACAGCCAAGCGCAATATGGGAAAAAATTCCTCCCGCAATTCGCGAATACTTTCCGGGGTTACCTCTTTGCCAGCTGGGAATTCGATGCAGTACGAGATGGCGACGACTACGGACTCTCAGACCGGCAATGCTCTGCAGCCTTCCCAAAACTCTACGCCGATATCGATGAGATGGTATCTCGCAGGGAACTCAACCACGTCGCAAAAGCAGACTTTGACTCTGTAGAAGGGGACCATGTCGGAAGCTCAATAAGAGCGATGATACACAGAGGGGAACTGTACATAATATCTGGAGACGGACTCGCGGATTATCAGTCGCGAGGGTTTGCGACACTGCATGCGATAAACCGCGCACTGATGGCCTATACCGACCGAGCTCAACTTCCGAATTGCGAGTTCAGGATTTACGTCGGCGACATGGCTCAGGGAGACGATACCCTTTGGGTATATACAAAACCCGTTGAGTCGGATACGGAGAACTTGTGGTTGATGCCGGATTTTGGGATGTATGATTGGCCGGAGGCAATGATCGGATCCTACATCAAATCACGACGCGATATGAGGGTCATAGAGGAAGAAGTGCCGTGGGAAAAAAAGACACAGAAATTCCTCTGGCGGGGCATAATCTTGCCACCATACCAGAGCCGCCATGATCTATTACGCGTTGCGCAAGACAAACCCTGGGCAGACGTTGCCACAGAGTCCATCAATACTCCTGACAGCCACATCATCCCCATGGCTGATTTCTGTCGATGGATGTTTGTGGGTGATGTAAAGGGAGCGTCCTGGAGCGGTGGAGCCAAGTATAAGCACAACTGTCACTCGGTATTCGTGTCTCACAGATTGGCATGGCGGGAGATATACACAGGTGCAATGGTGGATTCAGGGCCAGCGCAGAATTGGGTCTCCGTGCTCGACGATTGGTCAAATCTTGAAGAGACGTTGCAAGATCTAATCGCTAATCCAGCCAAAGCCAAGATGATTGCAGACAACAGTGTCAGAACGTTACGGGACCGATACTTGACGCCTGCGGCCGAGGCATGCTACTGGCGCCAGTTGATCCAAGGGTATGCTTCGGTCAGCTTCGAGCCGGATTTCTTCGAAAGCGATAATAAAACGTGGCGAGGAACGCCCTTTTCTTCCGTGGCTCTGATGGGGATGGTGAAGTGGGATTTCGATCAGGATAGCTTAATTACTGCTGCTAGAGTTAGACATCCATGAATGAGGTTTGAAAGAGTCTGATGTCATATCTGGGGCGTCTCATGAAGCATTGAAGACCACCAGAGCTTCTCAGAGGTAATGAACTACAATCCTAAGCTATGCCATGTTACAAGTAGTCATGGTAAGTAGTGTAGCCGATGAATCTTTCCGAGCTTTCTGTTTTAGTGCTAATTTTTCAGCCCATTTACTTGAACGGTGGCACCAGGTGGGAAATATCTCAGTTGCCTTCGGTGAAGAGAAGCAGAAATCCTCCTTGGGCCCTATTGTGTCTGTACAGCGTAGAGACCAGAGATTCTCCTCCTCGATATCTTTCGCTATTAGCACCCAAGTAATTCTACTATTGTCAAGGACGAGCGTCTGGACGTGCTCCCCTCGCTTCTTGGGTGGGTGGCTGATCCAGCTGAGCTTGGGGGCAGTATTTTTCGCCGCCAAGGCTGTGCAAGTCTTGGCGAGATGCAATGCAAATATTCAGGCTGAATGTCCCTCATCAGGCTTCTAGGTTCCTTCTCTATTCAACCTGCCTAGACAGCCATTGTAAGAGTAGTTGATTGGTCGTCTGAAGACTCTTTGCTCACAGTTATGTCGCTGCCTTCGAGGCGAAACAGTGATTGTCGCCCACGGTCCCTTCAAAAATGATGCGCCATCCCAGCAAGCATGTCATTTGGCTTCAGCATTGGCGACTTCGTTGCCGTAGGTGGTCTGACTGTGAAGACAATTGACACTCTTCGGAATACTCAGTCCGAGTACCAGGAGCTTATTCGCGAGCTTGAGAGGTACGTCCAGTCATTACCCCTGCACATCAGCTCGGCGTTATTCTCTGCCTAGGGGCGAGCTCACTTCATCTACAGTCTCAAACGAGCTCTGAGCCAGATGGACAAGCTCAAGGGCCGTGGAAGAGACCTAGTATCCGATAATCGTTTCCACCCCCATTTGCACGTTACCCCAATTTGCACGCTCTTAAGTCCAATAAAACCAACATAACATCAAAATACACATCTTTTACTAAATTTATATAATAAACGAGTA